ACAGACGTGCATGCAGGCAGAATGCTCACACATAGAAGATGATGAAATAGTAAGAGTACGACAGCAGCAACAAAAGAATGTGTGCCTCTGTCTTTGGGGTGTTGTATTTACTCTTGAGGAGGGGGTGTGAAGCATCGAGAAAGGTAGACAATCTGTCTGGGAGTCAGATCCTTCCGGGTGGGCACTGAGCAGGGGAGGCAGGGAAGTGAGGTTAGGCTCGCCCTGGGGACACTGGCTGATGCAGAGGCAGTTTGGGCCTTGGCTGTGGAGGCTGGGCTGGCCGGACAGCCTTTCGGCTAAGGTTGATGCAGCATTTGGAGCCCATCCGAAGACCTCATCAGTTGCTGTGGAGTCATTTGGAACATGAGAACTCTGTTCCAGATGATTCTAGCCGGGCTTAGAAACTTGGAGAGAAAAACTACCTTCTCTTTCAGAAGCATAAGCATCCTGTATAATGGAAAAGCTGCCTCGTGCGGACCGATGCGGGTGACTGCCGGCTTTCCCCATGCTGGGCCAGGGATGCCCAGGCTGTGATGGGAGGACCTGGCCTGTCTGTGCACAGCCTGTGTGCTTCAGGTGTGTGTCTGGGATGGATGCGTGCATGCTCAGTGGAGGGGGAAAGGTTGCACCCATGGTGTTTGTGATAAGCTGAAGGGACGTGATTGCACAAGGTGTGTTCATGTCTAGATGGAGAATGTCCCTGTGCACATGCTGGCAGCGTGTGCACAGACCGTATGTATATGTGTGTACATGGACATACGGCAGACTTGCCATGAGCTCTTTCCAGTGGGTGTGGCAGGAAGAGGGCCCCAGTAGGCTGGGCTGCTGTTCGCATTTCGGTTTGCCTGCTCCTTTCTTCCCCACCTGAGGCTGAGGTATTTAGATAAGAAGAAGTCTGCAGCCTCCCGAGGCCCGGCTGATGGTCATTCTTTGTTGTATTTGCCTTGTTTTTCTGTACTCGGGGCTCTGCCACACATCGAGGGAGTGGTCCTGCTTTCCTGCCATCTTTGGGTTCTCCCAGCTCCAGCCCCTGGGGCTCAGGGGTCCACACACTCTGAACTTCCCTCTGAGCAGATGACCTCAGACTATCTGGCTCCACGGAGTCTGCCTGGGGTTTCCGATCCAGTCCTTGGGAGCTTTTGTCATCTGTCAGGCATCTCCTTCCACATCCGAGCCTACCTCTCTGCTGTCCTCCATGCAGAGCGGGTGGCGCCGAGTGACCTTTGCTGTGAGGTAGCTGGACCTGGAGGCAGTGTGGACACCCCTCTGACGCCCCTGCAGCCTCCCCCCACCCCCAGACACCAAAGTGTTGCTTCCTAGTTGCCACCCCGGGGGTTCTGAGGTCATAAAGTAGACTGCATTCCACCTGGGGACAGCTTGCTGCCCATAAGCCCACAATGGCACCCCATCTGCAAAAATGCTAATAGCATACCATGGAGGAGGAGGGGGTGGTTTCCTCGCTGCCACTCATGGGGCGACCTCTGTCTGCTGGGCCTTGGGAATGCCAGTCAGCAGAGACAGGCCTGCTGGAGTGTCCACCCAGCCACCGTGGCGGTGGCAGGTTCTCACAGCTGTGAGCCAACCTTGGGGCAGATGCTGGGGACAGGATTCCTTTCAGACTGACAGCCCCCTGTACAGAGAAGCCCTGTGACTCTTGGGCTTCCCAAGAATGGTTTCAGCTCCCTGAAAATGACCACAGCCTTAAGCAGCCAGGTTGGAACTGTCTGATCTCATGAGTGCTTCTTGGTTGGAGCTTGTGTCTTGCGTGTACCCGGACACAGACAGGACCCTTCATCCACACAGACATGACGTGATGTAACCTACACGTCTATGTGGATTAAGCCCTTTACTTGAAATGAAGAGAGGCCTCTGACACTCGAGGCCATAACGTGACCTTTGACCGCCAGGCATTAGAAAGGGAATCTCACACCCGGCCAGCGTGTTTTAAGACTGCTCAGTGCAGCTGCCCTTGGTGCACAGTCTGCTCACAGGTGGGGAGTCAGGAGAGTGGCTGCTGAGACCTGCAGGCTGCTCTGCCGGGGCTGGCACAGATGCAGGCAGCCCCAGGTCTGAGGACTGCCCGAGGCTGCCTGAAGCTGTGGGGCCTTGTTTTCCTTAGCTGGGCTGCTAGGTGGAGTTGACCCTCGCCTGCCCTCTCTGAATCCTTCTATGTGTGTGAAATGCACAGAAGAGCACTGTGAGCAAAGCTGACGCCATGTCCAGCCCCGGTGAGCCAAGCTGCCTCCAGGAACACTGCAGGCCACGTCCCTCAAAAACAAAGGTAGATCGTGAGGTACAGCCCCTGCTTCCCCTTAGTTGGTGGACCGAGAAGGCTCAGTTTGTGGGACGCTGTGAGCGCAGGAAATGGAGACGGCCCTTACGTTCCGCCTGTGCACAGCTTCCTGCTTTCGGGCGTAGCATTAGCTCGTCTTGGAGGTGCTGTCCTATGAGAGTCTCACTTGGCAAGCAGAGGCTCATGGGGTTATTAGGGAGTGATTTCCTGTCTAGAGAGGAAGGAGTTAGGCTAGGGAAGTGGCTCAGTGGTCCAAGGGCTTCACACAAGCGTGAAGGACAGAGTTTGGAGCCTCAGGAGTCATGTAAAGGCTGGACGGACATGACTGGCTCACTTGGAATTTCAGTCTAGGGAGACCGAGAGAGGGGATCCCCAGTGCAAGCTAGCTAGAGCAAGACTAGCTGTGTCCATGATGTCTGGGTTTGATTGACAGAGCCTGCCTCAGTAAAGTGGAAGATGACAGAGAATGAATTCCCAGCATCCAATTCTGGCCTCTGCATGCATGCATGCCTCTGTGCACATGCGAACATACGTATACACAAGCACTTGAAAATGGATGGGGGGAAGGGGGAGAGATCAGAGAGACAGGGGCAAGCCGCAGCCACCTGTACCTCTCTAACTTCCCAGCCGAAAGGAGAGTGAGCTCCTGTCTCCTCCCTCCTTATCACGTCCTCTCTCCTCCCCGCCAAAATCACTTCCTGTCTGTCTCTACAGACCTCCAGACCTCTACAGTTAGCTAGTGGTTAGCTCCGCCCTCTGATCTTCAGGCAAGCTCTATGTGTTAGAGTATAGACAAGATATCACTACAAGGAAGGACTGATTTGTTCCTAGGCACAGGAATGTGGTCTTGATGTCTAAGAGAAAATACTAGTCCTGCCCTGGCTGTGTCGAAACGGGACTCTAAACAGCTGCGTGCCATGTTAGAAGTGTGAGGTGACTTCTAGGTCTGGTCATACACACTCCCATCTGTTGATCGGAGGCTGGGAGCCCAGCTGTGTCCAGCCATCTGTGTGTTTTTCTTATGTAAGCTATACAGAGGGGACTTGAACCACATTTGGCTTTCACCCAGCTGGTGGCCACCTCAGTGACCTGTCACCAGCTTGAGCAGCTTTCAGCTCATGGGGGCTCAGCAGGGACTGAGTGTTCCTCTTGAACTAGAAGCAGTAACTCCATTTGCTCGGTAGTAACCCCGGCTCCAGCCTAGATAGATAAGTATAGTAATGAGTAGGCACCCGGGCATTTAGCACTCCCTTGGTGATGTCACTCAGGGCCCCTGGAGGTCCAGGTCTTTCCCCAAGTGGCAGAACTCTGTCTGATGAGCCTGCAGGACAGGGAGCTTGGCTTTGTGCAGAAAGAGTGTCTGCCATCCCTGGATCCTCTGTGCTTCTGTCTGCCCATCTGTTCATCTGTCTGTCCACTGAAGGCAGACATAGTTCCTGCCCTTATGGCTCACTCATCTGCTCTCCAGTGCCGTCATGTAGGGAATTGGGTTCCTCCACAGCTTAGAGCTTCCTGGGGTGTCCTTCCCTTCTGTGCCTGGGCCCCCTTCCCCACTGGGAAGGTTCTCAGCCCTCAGGGGACGACAGCTGACAGCCACCCTCCTCTGCTTAATGACTCAGTCTCAGAGCCACTGGCTTCCTGGCTCTGGCTTCCGCTTCTCTCTGCCTCACTTAAACAAGGCTCCAGGGACTCCTTGTCCAAATTAAGGTGGCACCTGGTGACAGGTTGGAATGTCGAAGTGTCCTGTCTGTGAGAGACAGTGAGACTGTGGGTAGAATGTTCCCTTGGGGAGGAACTTTCTTGGACCTGCAGCTTTTGGTGCTCGTTGGAGACTGGGGAGACCAGGCAAGTTCCCCACATGTCCCTGGCTCAGGAGGTCTCTTTAGACACACACACAGGAGCTGAAAATGTAATGTTTGCCTGTCAATCAAGGGTGGGCTCTTATCTGACACCATGGCAAGGGACATGTCTGAGTTGGCATCTTTATCTCTGAACCAGTGGCTTCCACTTATCATTTATAGCACACTTCCATAGCCAACTTGAAAATTGCAAGTGTTCTGATTTTGTTTTGGATGTGCCTTTCCCCCTGCCTGCCCCCCTGCCCCTTTTCTAAAGATCCTGGCAGAAGACACTTGGCAGACATTCCCTAGACATTTGATGTGACTGTGTGACAATAAGCCCTTTCAATCATTCATGGGGGAGTTAACAATGCATTGATTATATTATTTAATCATAAAGCAATTGCTTGTGAATTGTGTGCAAATTATTTGTGTTTATGTAAGTCTAGAAGGGGTAAGTAAAAAACTCGAAAATGAAATGCTGAGGTCATTGCAGGCGCCTGTGCACCACACTGGGCACAGGAAACGGCCATTGGTCCAGTGCCGAATATGCTCTGTCCACCTGTCCTCCTTTTGAGATGGGGATGGCGGATCTTCCCAGACTTAGATGCCATTTGGACAAGTGCTCTGAAAACCCTAAGCAGTATGCATGTGCCTTGATCATGGATAACTACCCTGTGAGGTCATTCTGGGAAGCAGACAGAAGCATAGAACAGACCCAAGGTCTGCTTCCAGCCTAGAACACCACTTCAGTCTTTCGTGTCGCACTGTGGGAGACTCTGCCTTTGGCTGCAGCCAAGCAGTTCGGCACTGGGGCCAAACAAAGCATGCAACAACTAGGAAAACAAATCCAATCTGCATTTTTGCAGGATACAAGACCCTTTTGAAAGGGATCTCTGGGAAATTCAACAGTGGAGAGCTGGTGGCCATCATGGGTCCTTCTGGAGCTGGGAAGTCCACGCTCATGAACATTCTGGCGGGATACAGGTGAGTAGATGCCAGCAGCAGAGGGAGGGAGAGCTGGGTGAGGGTGGAGCCACTTCAAGTCATCACTGGGAGCATCCTGTCATGTACAGCATTTGCTACCAGAAGCTCTGCTCACATGGGCTCCTGGGAAACCGAACACATGCATGCACACATTAGCATGTGTGCGTGCGTGCAGCTTGAGAATTCAGGAAGGAAACAGCACAGTGCCAAAAGCCTGCACCTGCTGATGGCTTCACAACATGTGAAGAAGAGACCACAGGCAGGTGGGCAGGCGACTTCCTAATTAGCACCACCCTCGGTCTACCCCCTGGAAAGGAAAGTGTACCAGAGTCAGGATCGGGAAGAGCAATGGTCGGAAGACAGAGAGCCGGTAGGAACGCGTGCTGGACAGTTAGACAAGGCATGGCAGAAGAAAATGGGGAGCTGCCATGTCTAAGGCTTGTTGTGGTTTCCATGGTTGTCTGGACTTCAGGGATCACCGTTCCCAAGATCATGACAAGGTCATTCATCTGTGAATGATTCTAAAGTGGAACCTTTCGAAGTGCTTACGAAAGGCTTTTCTAAAATCCTGCCCTTAGGTTCTCCAGGAGCAAGGGGTGGCAGCAGCGATAACTCATAGCTAACCATGAACCAAAAGAATCAAAACTCCATCCTAAACAATTCATACATTACCTTCACTCATCTTTTTAAAAGAGTATGAAATCTGACGTCACTTTTGTTGCATCTGGGACATGGATCAGTGTAGTCACACTCTATGCCTGTTAACTGTCCAGGCTGTCAGATTGACGAGAGATATATGGAGTTTTGTTCAGGGGACCCTTGTTTTTCTTAATAATGTCCCCAAAATATGAGGACGGACATTGACAATTTTATTACAATCCCTTATAATTGTTCTGTCTTACTAGTGGTTATTAACTTCTTGCCAGGCTTAATTTATAAATTAAACTTTAGCACACACGGCGTAGAAAAAGTCATAGTCCACATAGCATACAAAACCCTGCGTGGTTTCAGTATCTACCTAGAACTCGGTCACTTACCTTCCTGCTACTGTGACCAAATCCCTTGTAGGAAGCAAGGGTCTGTTTGGGCTCACAGTCTGGGGGGGGCACAGTGATTGGAAAGAAGGTATGGCAGCTGAGGCAGCCAGGTTTGTGTCACTGTGCCCTTGCTCTGCAGGAAGCAGGTAGAGTGGAGGCAGGGGCAGAGCCAGACTTCAGTCTTTAAAGGCCTGTTCTCAGTGACCTCCACCACCCAGGCCCCACAGCCACCCCCTCATTTCAGTACAACAAGCTGGGGACCAAGAGTTCAAGCACACCCTGTGGGGGACGTTCAGATGCAAGCCAGAGCATAACACAGTTCGTGAGGATAAGCATGGACACCGTAATACTAATGATGTCAGTTACTGGGGGGTGGGGGTGAGGGAGACAGAGTTTTTAATTGCTTCTTAACATCAGAGGTTACGATCTTCAGAACTGTCACTACGACAAGTTCTTGTCCATTGCATTCGCATCTGAAGATCAAAGGCAAATTCTCAACTCCCAGAGTCAAGACAGGGAGGGAGCTGAGTGGGGTATTTTCTTGGGGCCGGCAGGCTATGTTTCAGAACATCACAGCAGTTCCTAGGAGACTGGGGATGCTTGTGCATTCTGGAGATGCAGAGGAAGCCGGGGGAGCTACCCACCGCCTGCGAGGAAAGTAGGACCCACTACAAGGCCCTCAGCCTTGACAGTGGGGGGCCATGAGAAGCTGGGACCCAGGATGGTTCTATTAGTCCCCGCAGATTCCATAATGCTCCTGTTCTCCATGGCCACAGGGAGGCAGAGCTGGGAAGCTGTGTCCTTGGGGGGAAAGGAAGATATCCCCCGCTCCCTGGGAGCCTGCTCTGCTGATGCTTAGAAGTGCCTGATAGGCAGCAGGCCCAGAGTGCACATACATGAGGAACCCACAGGGTGGCTGCTAGGGTGATGGCCCTCCATCCCTAGCAGGACGCAGGAGGCTCCCAACCAACTTCCTCACCTGCAGTCAGAAGGTTCTCCCCTTGCATCAGGACCAGTTATGGGGCTGAACCGTCATGACTGGTGTACTGTCTTCGAGCCGCCTGAGGCACCTGCTGGGTGCACCTGTGATCCTGGAGCAGCTGGTGTAGTCTGGGCTGCAGATAGAATAGCCTGTGTACATCCTTGCCCTGTGGCTGGGCCGAGGGGCATCCCCAGGCATGTTTGTGCAGCAGGCAGAGAAAAGAAGCCATTTCCATCTGGTGTGATAAACATGCCGTTTGGGAGAGGCCTGGAGTGTGGCTTGTCTCCCTGCTGGCCACTTGCTCCCGGAAGAGTACTAGTGCAGGGCTCTGGGTCTCTGGTCCCTCTGCCCCATCCTGTTGCCATGGTGAATGGTCCTGCTGGGAAGAGCCCAGGAGGGAGGGCGGCACCACCCCTCGTTGGCCTCTCTGAGCCACCTGAAGATGGGGTGCTGAAGGAGCTGGTTGACAGCCACCTTCCCTTGTCTTTGCAGAGAGACTGGCATGAAGGGGTCAGTCCTCATCAATGGCATGCCCCGGGACCTGCGCTGCTTCCGGAAGGTGTCGTGCTACATCATGCAGGATGACATGTTGCTTCCTCACCTCACTGTCCAGGAGGCCATGATGGTGAGCCACCCCTGCCCTCTGCACAACACAGACTTGCTGCTCCCGGCCACCTCCCGTCCACTCCCTCCAGCAGAGATGCTGCCCCAGGCTTGCTGCTTACACAGCTATGTGGGACACAATCCCCAAGAGTAGGGGCTTTAATAGATCTCATTTGGCAGAGTCACAATCAGGTGTGTGCGATTATTGATCACTAAGCTGAATGACTGTTTCCGTGGAAACCACCTTTCCTGTTTCCCCATGGGCTAAGCAGCTTCCTTTCTGCTTAATTAGGGTTTCTATTGTTGTAATAAAACACCATGACCAAAAGCATGGTGTGTGTGTGTGTGGGGGGGGTTATTTCAACTTATAATTGCAGTTCATCATCTGGGGTGGGGCAGGAACCTGGAAGCAGGAACTAAAAGCAGGGGCCGTGAGAGAATGCTGCTTACTGGTTTGCTCCCCATGGCTTGCTCAGCCTGCTTTCTTACAACACCCAGGACCACAGGCCCAGGAGTGGTGCTTGCCCACAGGCCAGTCTGGTAGGACCATCTTATCAGCTGAGGGTCCCTCTTCCCAAGTGACTCTTGCCTACGTCAAGCTGATAGTATCTAGCAGACATACCCTCCGTCACTGTCCTTGAGTCGTTCTGTCTTTGGTGGATTGCTGGTTCTCTGAGAGCCTCATCAGACTCCCCGTATGCCAGGGGAAAGACAGAGTCAGCCATTGCTGGCTACCCACAGGGTCTCAGCTATGCCGTCTCTGGGGAGGAGGATGGGGTGAGTTAAGCCTTGAGGCAGGGCTGCAGGATTTGCAGTGCCGTGTGGGGTCTCTGAGCCTCACCACTAACTTGCCTCCTTCATGGTGTTGCTTCATTCCTTGGCTGTGACTTCCTCATCTGTGTGACGATTCCAGTCTGTTGCTTGGGAGAGCGAATGAGTAGCACAGGAAAGTGGGGTGCATCCTGGGCCTTGGGGCTCATCAGTGCTGGCCTCATAGGTCTGCCTTGGTTCTTTCCACTCCTACTGTATCTTCTCACGTGTCTTCACTTGAGACTCCAGCGCATAAGTCCAGGAGGAGTTTAAAAATACCTTTCCCTCTGGGGCCATGCAAGTGTCCAGATGATGCCTATATCGTCGGTTTCCAGAACAGCCAGTCTGCCACCTTTGCACAGGCCATGTCCCCACCAGTGCAGGGACTCTGGGTTTGGGGGATCATTTTTTTTAAAGGCCTACCCCAGAGTCAGTGACAGCTCACGTGATCTCTTTGTGGGTAGAAGAAGCCTCTAAAATGTCTCTCATTAGAGGGTAACTTACAAACCAGTACTCAGCTCTGCTTGTCACGGCTCACTTTGTGCCTGGCTGCCGATGTTTCTCTGCTTTTTCGGTGCCACTGCATGGAGTCCCAGTGGGATTGTCCCTCCCCTGGTCCTGAAGAGGACATTGTCAGAGACTCTGCACTTCAGTTAGCAGATGCCATGTTCCTATGGGTGGCCTTACATGGAGAGGTCTTGCCCTTACGTTCATGACTTGGAATGGGCAAAGCCCAGACAGTGGCCACCACACAGCACTTTGTGTGACTTCAAAGGAGCCGTAACTCAACAAAGGAAAGTGGGTTAAGATTTCAGATCTGAGCTCTGCTCCTCGACCTGGCTTGTGGGAAAACAGAAAGGGGGGGGCCTGGCAGGGTTGCTCCCACTCTGATACTGAGTAAGGGGACACCACCATGCAGCCTCCATGAACAGTGACTTTAGGGAGATCTGCCTGCCAACCTGGCCTCCAAGGGGCTTTGGCAGGCTTAGAGGATGCAGAAGGGTTTGCACACAGACCAGGGCAGGCAGCCTCCTGAGAAGGTTTTCCTCTCCCCAAGTCTCATCTTTCATGTGCTTGCTACTCCTGTGAGTCCCTGAGTGACCCTCTGTGTGTCGGGTGACCTGATTGTAGCTCTTGGTGAGTCACTGGTGGACGACCGCGTGGTTGCGGGTGTGAGAGCCATCACTTAGCTCTCCTGTGGTGACTGTATCTCCTCTCGGTCTTGCTGTGAGATACGTTTCAGAGTCATGTACCATTAGATCCTCAGTTGAGGACATTCACAGTACCATTGGGGATGTTTCTCTTTAACATTCTCCCCCTCGAGATCCTGTCTTCCTGGCCATTGGCTAATGACCTACAGTAATTGTACATCTTTGTATTTGTTTTTTGTTTGTTTTGTTGTTGTTGCTTTTCTTTTTTGAGACAGTTTTTCTCTGTATAACAACTCTGACTGTCCTGGAACTCACTCTGTAGACCAGGCTGGCCTTGAACCCACAGAGATGTGCCTGCCTCTGCCTCCCGAGTGTTAGGATTAAAGGCGTATACCACCACTGCCTGGCTATTGTACATTTTTGTGTTTTATGTGTTTCTTTTGCCTCATGTCCATCCGGACACATCCTTGGGACACTCGGTGTCACAAGATAGGCAGCTGGCTTGGTAGAGGTGATGTAGGCCTCCCTCACATCTCAGTCTCTCATCTGACCCCTTTAGAAACTTCTCCAAATAATGAGGTGGAGTTTAAGCCATTTTTGTACTGGTAAGGAAACTGAGCACAGGTGTGCCCAAGAACACGGAGTCTGGTATAATTGAAATGGGGCTGAACCTGGCCTAGATGAGTCTGTCTCAGGGTCTCTCTAGGCAAGGCTGGGGACCCCATATTATACTGCAAGGCTGGGTACCCCACATTATACTGTAAGGCTGGGGGCGCCATGCTACACTGGTAAACAGTATCTGAGCAAACAAACCAGGAAGTTCTCCCTGCTGTCACACACCTGTTGTCCGCAGATCCTCCTAGGGTGATAACTTCAAGTCAGCAGTGGTTTATCACCTGATTTGTGGAGGTCCTGAATGCACTACTGGTCCCCTCCCAGGCTGCCTTCAAACCTGGGGTCTCCTTGTTCCTGTGCAGGAACAGATATCTCATGGGGACACCTGAGATAAACAGAAGCATAGCAGACCCATATAGCTCTCCCAGGACCCCACCCCTGCAAGGCCATTGGAGTGAGAAAGTGTCTCATGGATCCATCAAACAGCTAAAACGTTGATGGGACCGTGGACCGTGGTGTGGCTTTGAACCATGGTGTGGTGTTGACCCTGGGTTGGCGCTGGCCCTTGCTTGGATCCAGTGAGACCCATCCTTCCAGATGCCGCCTCACTGTTGTCCTTATTGCCTGCAGGTATCTGCACATCTGAAGCTGCAGGAGAAGGATGAAGGCAGGCGGGAGATGGTGAGTGTGATGCTCCAACCATGCGTGGCCCAGAGCGTGATGGAAGCACATGGGAGACTGCTGGGGAGGGCGTATTCCTTCCTCTCTTCTAGATTTTTTACCTCTCCCTGGGTGCGTATGTGGGTGATGGGGTGTGGCAGGGTGCAGTGGCTGCAGTCCAGGAGAGATGGTTCTGGGGATAGATTGATGAGTAGATTGAGCAGTCTGCAGCCTTAGCCACCACCCTACCTGCCATGGCCAGAAGATACTAACCTCGGGACCTAGCCAAGGGCTCCACCCCCTTGGGTGTTTAATACATTTTAGATTAAAATATATTTTTATGAAATGCTGACAATGGAGATGGTTTAGTCATTGGTTTAAAAATAACCCCCTCCACCTACATACCTTTGCAAGGAGAAATTGGGCTCTTATGTGTTATTAACCAGCCTTTCAAAAAGAAAATAAAAACATTCCCAGACTTTCTGAGACTTTTCTCCTCCATCGTATCCATTTTCCTGGCTCCCTGAGCCCTTAAGGAGCTGGGAAGGAAGCGCACAGGACCCAGCAGGAGCCCCAGGAGGTCCTGGGGGTTGAGGAGTGCGGATCAGTCCTAGTTCACAGGCTGGGAGAGAGACTCAGCTTGCCGCCTCCTCCTCCTTGCTGTCCCCGTGCTACTGGAATGCTCTGCAGAAGATAAATGTAGCAGAAGCCCCCCCAAGGCCAAGCAATGTGGGTAGCGCAGTTGCTCGATGGTTGCCAGGGACATTGAGCGTGTGGTGTGAGATGCATCGTTGGACATCATTAAATACTGTTCACATGCATCCTTCTGTTACTGCCCCCAGTGACTAATGCAGTGTAGACTAAGGCTGGCTGTGGAAAAGCAGCTCCGGGCAGCCTGAGGGCTCCCCCTTCCCGTCTCTCATGGGACCCTCAGAGCCCTGGGATTCTCTGTCACGGTAGCGGGGTGTGCAGTGTGGAGAGGAAGAACTCATTTCGGAGAGAAAAACAGCTCCTTGGACCTACTGAAAGTGCTTCCTGTGGAATTCTCTTGTTTCGAGGTTGGGGGGAGGAAATTGGACTATTTGCACCCAACACAGAGAAGATGTGGAAAGTTTGGGGGCCGCATGTAGGCAACAGAACAGGGCTCGTCACCTTGTCATGTAGGGTGAGCTTCAAGAGCCTCCGTCCGTCCGTCTGTCCGCAGCCTCCTGTCTTTTCTAAATAGTGTGGCTGAGAAGGACACCACTGCCCATTCCCCCCATGCCTCCCCTGACTCCCACCCTCTTACGTACCTCCACTGTCCCTAAGAGTGAAGACAGGAAAAGACAGGCTTAGGGGCTGAACCCCCTCCCCAAGGGGACATTCTAAAATTCTAACCCCAGTCCTTCAGAATTAACAGGCTGTTTGCAGGGGTGATTAAGGTAACAGGAGGCCATTGGGATAACTCTGATCCGGTCCCAGGGTCCTTACAAGAAGAGGCAGCCTGGGCACAAGCACACTCAGGGGAGAAAATGCCACCTGCAAGCCCAGAAGAGAGGAGGCAAGAGGGGCTGGGAAGAGCTAGTGCCCGCCACCACGCCTCGAGCAGACTCCCAGCTGGCATCTCCAGCGTCTGTGCCCTCGGGTTGGGGCACGTGGTCATGGCAGCCTGGGCTGACTCAAGTCAAGGCAGCTAATGCGATGGCAAAGGAAAGGTCTAGAATGGAAGAAGGGAAGAGAGGGAGCCAAGCATCAGAACGCCGTGTGTCAGGATGAGCCTGCGATGGCCACACCAACAGACAGGGCCCTCCATCCATCATCCGCTCCGGCACTCCCTGCCCCTGCATTTCCACTGACGAGAAGGAAGGTCACACGCTGCTGGAGAGGCGGTGGGACTGGCGGAGACCAGAAGTGGGCCCGGGCGGAGTTCTTTCCCTTGGAGCATCCACGTGGTTCCTGGTGACTGATCAGAAGACCGTGGTAGCTCTGGGACCACCCCCCCCATCCGGTCACTCCCATCCACCAGCCTGTCGGGCTCAAGTCTTGAAGTCCCTGCGATCAATGTGAGTGTGGGATGGAGAGACGGAGGCAGGGCTGTTTCTCCACAGCTGTGGCGCTATGGCCAGCCTTTCCCCCGTGTAGCTGGGGGAGTAGATTTACACGACTTGGGCCTCTGAGCAGATGACCCCTGTGAGGCAGGCATTTGGCCTCCCGTGCTGTATTTGCCTGTGATGCTGTTTGGTGCTGTCAGAGTCTGGCTTCCAGCCCCTCTTGTGGGTGCTGTCTGGGCCTCGGGAGCCCACTCTGCTGCTGGAGCGGAAGATAGCAGCCTTTGGAGAAGCCTGGAACCTTCTGGGGAAAGTCATAGCTAGGCCTCAGACTGACAAGACTTACTTGTGCACATCCTCCATCATCCTGGTTCAAGAAATGTCCCTGAGAGAGGCAGGCCTAATCCCCTCATCCAGTCATGGTCTGTGTGTTGCGTGTTGCAGTAAGCCAGTCATGTAGGACTGAGGCACTGTTGTGTCCTGCATGTGTTTGCTTACCAGAGATCTCACTTGTTATGGCCCTCTTCTGAGCTGGACACAGTTCTTGCCTCTTCTAAGAGCCCATAAGAGATGTCTCGATTTGCAGCTAGACGCTACCCTGACTCATTTCCTGGCAGCTCCAGCAGCACCTCAGTGGATGCTGGGTATAGCCTGTGGAAGAACAATGGAATGGAATGTTCTAGCACATGATGGAGAATGTTGTTCGTAGACACCCTTGTTTCCCAGAAAAGGCACCTTGGCCCTGAGGAACCCTCTGGTATAGCTGCTTACTTGAGAGGGAGGTTGCCATGAGCCAGTCGGGGGGCTGCTGAGACAACTCTAGATGGTGAGGCCCCAGGAGGACTTTAATTACAAGTGATCTTGGGGATTTCTTTTGCTTTATTTTGCTTTTTGTTGGTTTGCTTATTTAGGGAAACATAAAAACCCCTGCTGGGTTTTTATTTCTTCTTTCTGACTACTTTAAACCAAAACCAACCGGGATAGTATTACTTCTGAGACAAGGCTAGATGGTTGTAGAAACATAGTCATGTGGGCTGAAGGCCGGCCACCAAGCGGTGGCCTCTATTTCCACTTCCCTGCCATGAAAGTGAAGAAGGGGGGGTATCCTTAGTGTAAGGCATGCCCCCACAGATGAAATGACTCTAGCCACACTGACAGATCAGCCAGCTTTTCGCAAGAGGCTGGAAGCCGTGTGCTGGGAGATCAGCAGACATTGCTGAAGCAAAAATGCCAAAAAGAAAGGCCTGTCCACTGCGGTGCTACCTCTCTGGTCCTTCCCGGACAGCCACACTGAAGCTGTCCCCAGGCTGACAGTCACCTCCAGGAGGCATGGCATTCCAGAAGGAGACGGTGGTGCTGGGTTAAGAGCATCGGCAAGGATACAGAGCGGGACTTGATCTCAGGCCCCTGGAACCCCACACTGCACCTTCTCCCAGCCCGCCAGCGCTGAATCGTGAGTGGTTCTGCCACGTATAAATAATCCACAAGTCCAGAGTGGAAAGTTTTCTTCTTTTGAATTCTCCTCTTGGATGACCTCATCTCCCCCAGAGAAGCCACTGGCCAAGGTCCTCCTGGTATGGCCACTAGGGACTGGCTGCCTCAGAGCTGTCCTACCTCTGAGCAAACTCTGGAGGGAATCACCCAGTGCCCTGGAGAAGAGCCTGGCAGGGATGTGGCACCTGGATGAGGAGCCTCTTCTTCCCAAGAGCCTGCTGACCTGTCGGCTCCCAGAGCTAGCACTAGGCCACCACCCTGGGCCAACCAGAGGACTCTGCATACAGATAACTGTGTCTGTCTCTGTTCTCAGCCTCCATCCCAGGGTCCCCGAGCACAGGTGTTCACTGGGTCACTTACAACACAGATGTGCTTGCTGCCCTGAGCAGCTCACCTGTCCTCAGTCTCCAGTGGCGTCCTGACAGGGCTGGCCTGGGGGCGGGGGTGTCAGGAACTCACTCACATGCTTCGTGTGAGACGAGAAACGTAGGTGGTAGCTGGTGTGGTTCTTACTGTGCACCAGGTGTTCCGACAGGACACTGTGCAGTCATCCCTGCATTCGCTAGCTGGTGGCCCTTTGCGCTAGCCAGAGACATGATCATCCGTCCGCTTGTGCGTTCAGTAGCCCATCCACTGACCAAATATTTATAGGACACGTCTTCATGCCAGACGTTAGGCTCGGGTTAGAGGTGAAGGGCAACATCAGGTCGCCAGCCAGAACCTGAGTGAGGACTCCAGTCCTTGACACGAACCTCCCAGCGCACTGTTGATGGGTCTGCCTGTCTCTCCAGTCAGGACCAGGGGTTTAGAGACAGCGCCTGCCACTCACTTGGGATGGCCTGGGACAGCCCAGCAGTGTAGACGTCTCTGTGTGGATAGCGGGGTTGTGCCCAGCAGGGCGGGGCATCGCGGATTGCTCAGCTTATGTTCCTGATAACCATGAGGCTGGAGGATAGTTTCCTAATAGAGACTCTGGGTTTGTTGCCTGCAGGTCAAGGAGATCCTGACGGCGCTGGGCTTGCTGCCCTGTGCCAATACACGGACAGGGAGCCTCTCAGGAGGCCAGCGGAAGCGCCTGGCCATCGCACTCGAGCTGGTCAATAACCCTCCTGTCATGTTCTTTGATGAGCCCACCAGGTAAGCCTGTGCCTGGTGACCAGGGAAGGACAGGGAAGAATCTCTTCTGGAGTCTTGGTGTGTCCTTGGAGGAGCTACGAGACACTGCCCCATCTGTGGGATGGCATGATAACGCCACTGGCCCAGAGACCTGTGTGCACTTGGGAGGTGGGGTACTGAGTGTGGAGATGTACTGGAGTTTGGAAACAGTCCCCTAGTGTCCGTCTCTCCCTTGTTCCGGAGTTACCAGGGGAGCAGCACCCTGGAGGCTAGTGTTGCGGGGCATTCCGAGGAAGGGGACTGATGTCTTTGTGTTTTGAGTGCCCTCCTCCCATTTTGGGTGGCTCACTGCCTTCGTGTGCCCGATGGGAAACCTGACACACCTGCTTACATCTGGGGAGATGCTGGTCTCGAGTCCTGTCTCCAGGGCACACTGGTCACTAGTCAGCCAGCCCACCTTTCTTCCAAGCACGCTGTATTCAGGCATTCCCAACAAAGTAGGCTACATGTTGCGGTTCGCCACGACCGACTCTCTCCAGACCTTGTCATCTCCTTCCCACTGTGTGCTCATCTCATGGATGCCCCCTGAACTTGAGAGCCAGCCGTTAGGCTAAGTGCCAGCCATCTCCAGGGAGGATTGGGCTGAGTGCCTGGCTCACAGTGGGCGGTGCTTAGGAGGACCCAAAAGACAACTGCAAGAGCCCTTACAATGACCTCTCACAGGCTCATTGCCCTGGGAGAAAGCGAGTGCTCATGGGTTCCCACTGTCACTCATTCTCCTCTTTGGGAGCTACACAGTAGAAACAAGATGGGGTTGGGAGTGTTCGAGCAGGAGAGGAGGGAAGAGAATTCGCCCAGGAGTGCCATGTCCCTGGCCAAGCCCTGCATGCCTCAGGATGCCACCTCCCCACAAAAGGCTTCGATATAGTCGATAAAATATCAGAAAGAAACACAGCCACCGCTCAGCCCACCCCCTCAAAAAGCCCCCAAGTGGGCCGAGGATGTGGCATTGGGACTACTGACCAGGCCTCAGGGCTTAATTTGGAGCCCAGCTATTTACCCAGGCAGTTCTGATGTCTCTTGCCAAGGCAGGTGGGGGTCCCCTCCTCCATCCCACAGCCATTCCTCCTTGCCAGGAGTGACATACAGCTCACACTCCAAAGTGCCACCCTTGAACAGTTAGTTACATGGGCTGAGAAGAGCGTGACCTTGGGGATGCACCTACAAGTCCTGTGACAGGCCCTCCCTCAGCGGTGACTGCCCAGTGCCTCTCACATTCTCAGCTTCTCATGCTGTCTTTGACTTGCAGTGGCCTGGACAGCGCCTCCTGCTTCCAGGTGGTGTCCCTGATGAAAGGGTTGGCCCAGGGCGGCCGGTCCATCGTCTGCACCATCCACCAGCCCAGCGCCAAGCTCTTTGAGCTCTTTGACCAGGTACGTGGGCCCCACCCGTGTCCAAGTCCTTGACCTAGATCTCCACCCCAGATTCCGTCCCAAGATCCCTGACAGGACTGAGAGATAGCCTAGGGAAATTACACCTGGAGTCCTCATTCTTTCTACTAGTTTTCAGGGTAATTAGCTGACTGGCTGGCTAGCTAGCTGGTTGACTGACTAATGAATGGCTGGTTGAATAACTGGTTGACTGGCTGACTGATAAGCTGACTTACCAATGGGCATGCTGGCTGGCTGGCTAACTGGCTGGTTGATTGACAAGCTAGCTGACCAATGGACATGCTGGCTGGCTGACTGAACAACTGATTGGAAGGACTGACTGAGTGAGAGCCTCCGTTGCTTTCCAGAAGGCTGTGGTTGATGCCTTTCTCTCTTCGTTTCTCCCTTCCTCTCTCTCAGCTTTACGTCCTGAGTCAAGGACAGTGCGTATACCGGGGAAAGGTCTCGAATCTTGTGCCGTATTTGAGGGATTTGGGTCTGAACTGCCCTACCTACCACAACCCTGCAGACTTTGGTGAGTAGAGCCCACCCAGCTGGAAGGAAAGGGAATCTCCCTCAGTCTGTGTGTTCCACCATGACCTGATGCCTGAGTCTGGAGTTACTCACCAGACTCAGGCATCACTTCCATTGGTGAGAGACTGCCGTGCCTCACCAATGGAGCGGAGTCCGACCTGTGGTGGTCGCTCAGGCAGGCTTCTCTCCAGGAGGACTTGTCTAGTGGCCAGGCTCTGTCCTAGCTTTGCTTGGCCTCGCCCTCTGTCCCTTAGTCATCCCTTCTATGGGGACACTGGTCACTAGACTTAGGACCAACGCTACATTCATGACTGCTTCTCTGTAAACATCCTTCTCTATAAACTCAGGGCCACTCACTCTCAGATCCCAGCTGGACAACCCTCCCACAGCTGTATTCCCTTCAAACATCTGGCCACTCAGCAACCAGGGCTCCAAATTTCATTTCCCAAATTGTGTTCGGGGGCCTTGATCCTGGGAATGCTCCTCACCCTCAAGAAGCACACTGCCCCAAAGTGGGGAGGGGATGGGACGGGAGGAGACAGGTTAAGGGGAAGAACTGGGCATATTTAAAAGCCGAGGGAAAGATCTTGTTTGTAGTTGGCTTATTCCTTCGTCTCCCAAGAGAGGGTAAGAGGGGAGGGTGGGCCATGAGCCCTGTTCATCGGGGGAAGGGAGTGGCAGCCAGAGAGGGGGACAGGTGGGAAGATGGCAGGTGTCTGGTAAGATGAGGATGTCTCTTCCCAGGGGGTTCTCTCTGATGGGCCTCTGGAGGGAAGGTGGGCACTGTGGCGCTTAGGAGTGGGGTGACTACCCCCAAGGAGTTGTTTAGAGACGGGCTGGGCAGCGCTGGGTGGGGACTTGCTCGGTGCTGTGAGTGACACTTTTCCAGAGGGGCCCAGTGTGTCCTGGCTTCAGCTTAGTGTGCCGCCTGGGAAAGGAGTTGCTAGTTTGTTGATGGGTTCAGGGGAGGAGGGGTCTCTGGACATCAGCAGCATGGTACAGAGATGAGGGCTGTGCTGCGCAGGGAGGTGGTGGGGGAAGGGACAGGACAGAGGGCTCTAGACAGCAGCAAACTGTCATTACCATGGAGTGGGGACCATTCAGCAGCCACAGGAGTAGTCTAGGCAGAGGGACCTTGACGGGGTCCAGGAAGGTCAGAGTAAACAAGTAAACAAACGAGGGAAACCAAGGCAGAGGCTGCCTGCTGGGAAGTGAGGGGTGTGGTCCATGGTCCCCAGCCTCAGAGCAGTGGGCCTGTGTGTGCTGTGGGCAGTCCTCCCCATGAACCATCCGCCGCCCCTTATGCTCGGCAAGGAGCCCAACTCCCTCCTACTGATCTCCCACTCCAGCCATGCTGGCCCGGAGCAGGCATTCTGTGTACACTGTACAGACGGCCATGGCATAGATGCATGCGTTCCTTGCTTCCTGGGTGAGCTGACAGCATGATGCACATGGTGTCATGATGACACCATGAATGGCTCGCTGGGGGTTCTAAGCGAACGTCAGTCAATCAGCAGCCACGGCCTCGGCTCTCAGGCACCACCACAACTCACTTTAAAGCTCTCTCATTACCACACAGACCTTGCTATCACAAAGTGACAGAGGCCCACAGTTCCCATCAGCCCTGTGGTGCGAGCCCCCCCCCAATCTCACTTCCCCCTCCATGTCATCTCCTGCAGTCATGGAAGTGGCATCAGGCGAGTACGGTGATCAGAACAGCCGCCTGGTGAGAGCCGTGCGGGAGGGCATGTGTGACTCTGACTACAAGAGAGATCTCGGGGGCGACACAGACGTGAACCCATTTCTTTGGCACCGGCCTGCTGAGGAGGTAAAGCAGGTGAAGGGATGGGAGTGGTCTGGAGATGGGTCCTGCAGAGCAAAGGAGGGCATGGCAGGCAGGAGGCTCACTCAACCCCTTCACCGTGTGTCGCCAGGACTCTGCCTCCATGGAGGGCTGTCACAGCTTCTCGGCCAGCTGCCTCACCCAATTCTGCATCCTCTTCAAGAGGACCTTCCTCAGTATCATGCGGGACTCGGTAAGGGTGTCCTTGATGGCCTGTTTACACAAACACAAGTTGCTGTTCCTCTGTATTAATCAGCTATCACGGTTGTGCTGCAGTAACAAAAGGTCCCAAGATGTCTGTGTTCACAAGACCCAGTGTGTGTCTTGCTGGTGTCATATATGTGCTGTGGGTCAAGGTGGGCGTGGCCCCATCTGTCTTCTCACTCCAAACCCCGAAGGACATGCCTACAAATGCTAGAGGGAGGCACAGGTCTGGGAGCACACAGAGAGGGAGGCAGGGGTGATGGGACTTGGCTGGCACCTCCCGTCCAGTGGGCACTAGGCAGTGGGGAGGCTGACGTCCAGTGTGGCCTCAGGGCTCTGAGCTGGAAGACCTGTAACTTACCATGGGTTCCTGCTCAGCAACCCAAGCCACAGCTCAGGGTGAGGGTCTCCAGTAGAGACGTCTCCACCATTGCCTTCAAAGGAGACTAATCTTGTTCACCAGCTTCGAAGAGAGGCAGTAAAGTATAGTGATTCTGTTTTAGTAGTACATGAGCTTGACGTGTGTGTGCATGCGCGTGAGTGTTGTACACATATGTATGTGTGCGCATACGCCTGTGTGCTTAGCTTACATGCATGCAGTGATAAGGCGCTGATTACTTCCCTGACGGAAGGGACGGTGGCTCATGGGAGTCAGAGCCCGATGCCCCCAGTGGTCTCCGGCTTGTTCTCTCACGCACGAAAGTGCACTGGATGAGAGCTGTGCCTGCCCTTAGGTGCTGACACACCTGAGAATCACCTCTCACATCGGGATCGGCCTCCTCATTGGCCTGCTGTACCTGGGGATCGGGAACGAAGCCAAGAAGGTCCTGAGCAACTCCGGCTTCCTGTTCTTCTCCATGCTCTTCCTCATGTTTGCCGCCCTCATGCCCACTGTTCTGACCTGTGAGTGTCCCTTCCTTTCCAGCTGGGACAAGGCATGGCAGCCGAGGCCTCGTCTCTGCCAGGCATGACTTCTAAAGCACACAGTGCCCCGGTGCTCCAAATTCAACCTTCATACGTTGACAAAGCAGGTTGTGCTGTCGTAAGACCAGTACTTGGTTCCTATCACCTGTGTTGAATGACTCGCAACCACTTATAAACATTAGCTTAGGGAATCCGATGCCTCCGGTCTCTGTGGGTGCCTGCCCGCATATAGCATACACGCATTCACACGTACACGCAGAAATACTGTGTTTAGTACAGACGATTGCATCTCAGTGAAAGGCAGCGAGGCATGGTGGAAGGCAATGGAGAGAAATTCCCCAAAGTTTGCTACCCAGAAGACCTTCAATCTGGCTTGCTGCCCGTGCTCACCTGACCAATGGAGTTCAGCTATTCAGGTAGTCTAGGGTGACCAGCTCTGGCCACTCTGGGCTGCTAGGTAAAAAAACAAAACAAAAAACAGAAATCTAGTGGTTAGAGAGCTGATGAGCCCAGCAGGGACAGGGCTTGTCAGAATGGTGCCGTCAGCCACCACAGGGACACTTGGTGTTCTCAGGGACATGGTCCATCCTGGGTCTTCACGTGACCATTTGGATCCATTTCCTTTTTGCTGCTATGATAAAAAAATATCCCAACCAAAGGCAAAATAAGGAAGAAAGCATTTATTTTGGTGTACAGTTCCAGAGCCAGCGTCCATAATGGCTGCCACATGAAGCAGGGGGCAAAAACAGGAAATAGGTCAAGGCTGAAAACCCTTAAATCCCACCCTCCAGTGATGCACTTCCTCCAGCAAGGCTCCGCCTCCTAAAGGTTCCATAACCTCCCCAAACAGCACCACCAGCTGGGGACCAAGTCTTCACAGACATGAGCCTGTGCGGGACAGCTCTCATTCAAACCACCGCGTAACTTTAGGGAAATGGCTAGTGATTTTCTTTTTCCAGACCAGTGAATCTGGTTCCGTCTTTTGTTTAAAGTCTGGGCATTGGAATGTTGGCCCACACTGTGACATAGGTCAGAACGGCCAAGGATTCAGCCCAAGGTCATTGGTGTGCACATCTGAGTCGCTGGCTGTGTCCCCCTAACCATTCTCTTCTACTTCCCATCCTAGTTCCCTTGGAGATGAGTGTCTTCCTCCGAGAGCACCTGAACTACTGGTACAGCCTGAAGGCCTACTACCTGGCCAAGACCATGGCTGACGTCCCCTTCCAGGTATGTGAGCCACCAGTGACTGGCAGTAGGGGACCAGGAATTCTCCACACCCACGAGCTGGGTGGGACTGGTTTCCACTAGTGTTCCACGGAGAGGCAAAGCAGGGTTTGGTGGGATCTGTGGGGTCTGCAATGGAAAGGGCCACCGGAGACAACTGTCCGCTGGTGGGACAAGCAGAACCCCCAGGGACACGGGCCCTGTGCTTGCAGATCATGTTCCCTGTGGCCTACTGCAGCATCGTGTACTGGATGACATCGCAGCCGTCGGACGCCGTGCGATTTGTGCTGTTTGCCGCCCTTGGCACCATGACCTCGCTGGTGGCCCAGTCCTTAGGCCTGCTGATTGGAGCAGCCTCCACATCTCTCCAGGTACAGCCAAGGAGGTGCTGGGCAGCACTGGGCTTCCCTCCGCCTCTGCCTCAATGAGGCTCGGTGGTCCCCATACCCTTACTTCTGTCCTGAACTTCCAGAAGTCTTCCCAAAGTTGTCCTCATAGGAATAAATGACACTGCCCTCAGTGCTCAGGACAGCCTTCTCACTGAGAAGTGAGAAACTTGCAGAGTGGCCATGCCTACACACTGCACATGCCCAGACACTAGTGCCCTGCAGTGCGCATGCCCAGACAGACACGAGTGCCCTGCAGTGCCTTCCAAGTGTCGGCATGTGTGTAGTACTAAGCACACCCCAGAACCCCATTTTTCAGGTAGGGAAGGCTGAGGACCAGCGATGCCTTGATTGGTTGGCATTGCACAGCTGGTGTAGAGGTCAGGGTCTCCATATCTCTGGTCTTGCCTCTGTAGGTCCTCTGCCCACCTTTGGCACGCCAACGGTGGGTACCCACCCTTCACCCACCCTGAGCCTCACATGTCCAGGGTCCTCACTCAGAGGTGGGGGCAGCCGTGGTGTCTGCCTTATAGCATTGCTGTATGAAGACAATACTCTGAAGAAGGACCTGGGACATACCAGCCCCAGATCAGGCCCGCAGAACAACGTCTGTCACCCCCATGTGGCCCTCCCACCCCAGGGTAGCCCATGCATCCTGCTAGTCCCGCCCACATAATAGAACCATGCTGTCTTCGTAGATGGCTTTACCCCTGTGTTGACCCTCCCCGCCCACTTCACCCTCTCGGACCCTTCCCCACCCCTCCTCCTAGAGCGTTGGAGCCCACAGGGTGTGTCTGACTGGGTCTGGGTGTCCTCTAAGCTCGGGTACGTACAGCACGCGCACCACGCACAACGTGCGCATCACTGAATCTTTCCTTCGGAGCCTGGCCAGCGGGATCAGCCGCTTGTCAGTCTGCCTTATGTTGCTCTTAACATTCAGGGACAGCAGGACCTGAGAGGAGGGGCCTTCTAGTGGGTCCCATGGGCTCCTTGAAACCTAACTCTGGTATTCGGTGCCGCTGCTGGTTGGTGACAGCATCTCTACTTCTAGGTGGGATGCCCAGAGAGGTGACTCTACCCAATTGTCAGCTCCAGGGATGGCAAAATTGTTCACTACAGCCCCTCAGAAGCCATTCCCAGCAAGTGTTGGCCTCTGCCCTCAGGATATAACAATTATTTTGTTCAGTCCCCTTCCTCAGCTGGGGTTACAGGGTCCCTCTTCAGGAGATTAACTTCTGGCCCTGCCAGGGGACATTCTTGGCCACCATCCTGGTCTTGGCCTGCCCAGGAAGACACTGACCCTTTGAGATTCCCCCTGGGGATGTCCTCAGGGTCACCTGAGTGGGGGGGGGGATATCCCCCGCCCCCTCCAGTGAGTATTCTTCATGTCCCAATCCTGTCTCACTCCAGGTCGCAACGTTTGTGGGTCCGGTGACTGCCATTCCTGTCCTGCTCTTCTCGGGATTCTTTGTCAGTTTTGACACAATCCCAGCCTACCTGCAGTGGATGTCCTATATCTCCTACGTCAGGTACGCGTGGGCAGCAGTGGTGGAAGGAGCAGGGCCCAGGAAATGAGTGAGTGGCCATGGAAGGAGGGGACTCACAAGACTCACTGCTTGGCTGCCCACTGAATCTGCACCCCGACTCCAAGGATATGGCTTCACGCTTTCCTCAGGGTGGTGCCTCACCTCCCCGGTGCACACGTGTGCACACGGACTCACCCTCTGAAGATGCTGTGGCATGCCATCACATTCTGGCCATTTCCATGTTTTGGGTAAAAGTGCCACAGTTAGACCCTGATTATAAAGCCCAAACAAGGCACAGCAATGTAGGCGCATTGTGCCCTCTCTGAAACCTCCCAGCCCCTCCCAGCGGGAGTTTCCTGGCTCTTTGGGTCCAGGGTCTGGCCGAGGTCCGCCCCTCCGCTGAGTGGCTCTGCAGGCTGCCCATCCTCAGGACTTGGCCTGTGTCCTCACCACCAGCCCCAGCTGCAGCCACTTCCCTGCATCACAAAGGTCCTCGCTGGGAACAGGGCTGCCTTCCTGAGTGTCAGCTAGGGCCCCTCTACATTGTTAGGGAGAACAAGACAGACACAAAGCCCTTGTACAGGGTTTCAGCTGCCCCTGTGCTTGCCAATTCCGGGAAACCAGAGACCAGAGCCTTTCTTTTGAAGATTGGTGCTTTTGTTCTGCAAGACAAGGCTGGACCAAAGGGGCTCCATTAAATGCCCCAGTGTTCTCACCAGGGTATCCAACCCATCACTAGACCTAACAGTGAAAAGGTGTGCAGGATTGGAAGGAAGCCAAATACTTTTTTTTTATTTTTTAAAATGTATTGCCCCAGTGGATTAAATAGGGTTCGTTCCGTTTTTGCATTTTCTCTGGTGGCCTTGGAAGAAGCAGGTTTGGAAACAGGCTGCTAGGTCGTTGTCTTAGGAAGACGGCTGTGAAGTCAGGAAGCGGGGTGGGGGGTTGGGGGGGCGTGAGAGAGGAAAGTCAGCAGAGCAGCCTCCCGCAATGGATGCCCTTCACACCAGGCCGCTCCTCTTCCCCAGATACGGCTTTGAGGGAGTCATCCTCTCCATCTATGGCTTGGACCGGGAGGATCTGCACTGCGACATTGCAGAGACGTGCCACTTCCAGAAGTCAGAGGCCATCCTGCGGGAGCTGGATGTGGAGAACGCCAAGCTGTACCTGGACTTCATCGTCTTAGGCATCTTCTTCGTCTCCCTGCGGCTCATTGCCTATTTTGTCCTGAGATACAAAATCCGGGCCGAGAGGTAAAACACCTGCAGGCCCGCAAGGAGGCAAGGCAGACATTGTGACCACGGGCCCTGCTGGGAAGCAGCAGAGGACCAGCGCCTGGTGACACAGACTCTCCCAACCTAACCTGGAGGCCACGCAGGTCGATGGTGACCCGTGCCCAGCGCCTCTGCCCACCGGGTTGGAACTGTTTGTTTCCTTTTCTAGCTTTAACTAGGAAGATGTAGGGCAGTCGGGGGTTTTTTACACGCAGGATTTAAAACACGGCTGGCACAGAGTGTCATCCTGTGGTCTAGCTGGGGACAAGAGGCTTCCTCAGTAGATTCCCCCCGGAGTCCAGGACACATTGGCCCTGGATGAGGAGTGTTGGCCATGTTGGTCCCCAGAGAGGCGGATTATCTTGGGGAAAGTCCACACACGTGGGAGTCCGTTTGATGACTGTCGTTTCTTATGGTTTCATCTTTCGTCTCCTTTCTGATGAAGTCACTTTCCGAGCCAAAGGCGATAAATTTCATTCGTTTTGAGAGATTGTATCTTTTCAGTACTTCTTGAGGACTGATTCAGGGTGTGAAAGGTGTGTTTTGCTTAGAAATAGAAGAGTCCCACCTAACCATCAAGTGCGGCTCACGGACACAACCACAGACGGTCAGACGTGGGTTCCAGGCGAGGGAGACAACCGCACCAGCTGCACTGGGCTGGCAGGGACTAAGAGTGATGCCAACAGTGCTGAGGGGGATGCTAGCAGGCTCCTTCCAGGCCTTTCTTTCTCATACGTTCCTATTTTAAGCAAAATAGATGATGTCTTCCTATATTTCTGGCCACTTTCATTTTGCCCAAGAAATACGTAGATCAACTTTGTTGATTTTTTAAGAGCATTTCCCCTTTCTTCATGAATCACGTTAACTACCTCCACTGAGCCTGGGAAACCGGCCTGGGGACACATTGGGTGTGTCCCTCGAAATGCAGGGGGCAGACAAGGGGACATTGTTGAGGTTGAGGAAAACGCAGCTGCTTGCTTCTAGAGCACGGCCATCCTGGATTGGAGTCTCCTGCAAAAGCCTATATTTTTATGGGTAGGTCCGTTCACCCTTGTGAGTCCCAGTTTCCACACCTGTAAGTAATTGCACTAGATGATGTTCTGGCTGGTCCTGAGATTCCTCGGTTGTGGCCTTGAAGTTTTCATATCTTACTTGTGGAGGATGATAAGGTTCCGAATTTTACTTAAACGCATGGATGTGCTTTGGAAAATATCTAGAGATTCTTTTTATTTTTTTTCACTCCTAGATCTTTTATAGAGAACACAATTGAAGTGCATATTACAATGTAATTTTCAGTTTGCTTATTCTATACAAACATGGCATTGCCTTCTAGATTCAGCTTTTAACCAGGGACACGATCCGCCTTTATAAAAGTCTTCATTTAAAAAACAAAGTCTTCATTTAATTTCGTTTAATTTCAAGATGCTAGGCATCGTATTGCACCCAGATCCAGAGAGGAACTGTGTGCAGTCGGCTGGAGAAGTGTGAGTTAAAAGGGAGCTGGGTGGTCAGATCTTAGACATGTTGAGGTCAGTGCCAAAGAACCCATTCCTCCTGTGTCTCCACTTACGGGTTAGTGATAATGGATTATGCTTGGCAGGATGTGCCAGGGGCTGCGTTTCTCCTCTGAGACTGCTCTGCTGTCAATCAAAGAGGCAGAGGCAGTGGTCCATGTTTCATATCTGGAAGAGTGCCTCCCCCTCCGGAGGAGTTCTTTCCTGTCCAGGCCACTGTGAGCAGCTTGTCACCACCCCTGAGTAAGTGAGGGTGTGATGAGGTCCTTCCACAGGGCAGAATCTGAGCTCATGACACCAGAGCTGGTCCACGGCTGACGGGCGAGGTGACAAGGGCAGTGCAAGGACATTGACCAGACAGACAAGGGGTCAGAAGTCACTCCAGAGGCCAGCACTGCTCAGTTGTTCTGCAGACCCGGGGAAGGCTAACAGCCATACTACATCCTTGTCCCTCGTCCAGTGTTCACAGGTGCCCGGGTGTGTGGCTCTGCTTACCACCATACATAGCCTGGATTCCAGAACCGCAGTCTGGATTTCTAGGTCATTCCCTCTTCTTCCTCTTCCTGTTTGTCTCCGTCTTGGCAGGAGGCATCCGGCCGTGTGTGCCTTTCCTGACTCTGATGTTAAATCAGACTTCCCTTGCAGTTGGGTTCCATGTGACTCTAAGGACCCAGGCCTTCCTTTTATCTCCAGCTGAGTTCCTTCAATTGAGAGGAAGGATTCCATCGGGTAGAGGCTACACCACCTCCTCATGCTAGCAGAGTAAAAAAACGAAAGTCCAAAGACAGCATTTGCAGGGACCTCATCTGAGAGTGAGGACTGTGGGGCCCTGCCAGGCCAGGTTGAGAAAGGCTGGGTGCAAGGGTGTGGCTGCTATCCTCTGTCCAGCCCCCCTCCTTTGTCCATCCTGTCCCACCTCCTCCCCCAGCCTCTCCTGCTTCCTCTTCTGCCCCTGGTCAAGAGAGAGTTGAACTCTCCAGGGGTTCTTCCAGGGAGGGGATGAGTCCCTGAGCACTGCTTGTAGTAGATGCAACAATCTTCCTTACTCACGGGGTGTAGGGAGGGCACCATCAGGACCAGAGAATGCAACATACAGCTTTTTGGTAAAAGCCTATCTTAGAAGCCCAGAGAAAGGTCATTTTATCAGCCAGGGACAGACAACAGAGGCGGGGGAGACACCTCTGGGTGTGTCTGTGAGAAAAACAGTGGAGGTGAGCAGCTAGGTATGTCTGGCCCTGTGCAGCCTCTTCTGGCTTCTTCGTCTTGTATCCGTCCGCCAAGCCTTCGCTGATCTGCTTTCCCTGTGTCGCTTCAAGCCCTGGGAAGGGACCTTGTCCTAGTGGGCAGCTGCTTCACTCTCCTTCTCCATGGAGCACTGAGGCGGGGAGGGGCTGGCAAGGTGCTGAGGGGCATCAGAGCCCACGTCGTCAGACATCAGAGTCCCCGTTGTCTGGCTTTTCCAGCTGCCGTTGTCCAAACAGTGCAGACAGACCGGAAGTGCTTAGACGTCAGTGCAACACTAGTGGCTGTCTGCTGGGTCACTCGCTCTACAAGAGGCCAGTCTACTCTTTGTCTAAGGGACTTACATCCAAGTGCCCACAATGACTGTCACTAGCCCACCCGGGGGCCCTGCCTCACCTGTGTCTTAGTGGAGGTAGTCCTGTTCTTTCCTGTCTGAGCTTCCCAAGGCACAGTAGTGGGCCACTTCAGGTCAGAGACACTGGTGGCCATGTGCTTGTGCTTGAGTGTCTATACATGAATTTGCACACACACTCACGTGCAAGCTCATATGTGCACACGTGCAGGCCCACTCCCACACATGCTGGATCATGTTATTCTGTGTCTCTCCCTTGTGTCAGTAACACACCAACCTCCAGGCGCTTCCCCACCACCTTTACTCCAAGGAGGAACAACAAAATTCATCTGTGCCTGTGGTGCCGGAGATGAAAGTCTGATGGAAAAATCCATCGAGGCTACTGATGAGAATGTGACGGAAAGGCAGAACCCAGCCGGGGAGCTCGACTGTGGACTGTGTCAATATAAAGACTGCAAATAAAATATTTTGTATAAAATTTTCACATGCATTCGGAGTCAGATCGTGTTTCCACTGTCTGAAGATGCATGGTCCGTCTGGTAAGAGTTCTGATTGGCTGCTTGGTCTGACCCACTGTAGAGTCGGCCTGCTCTCTCCAGCACCCTCTATGCATCTGTCTTAAGTTGTGTTTCCCTAGATGTCTGACCCATGCCCTCTGCTGTGATCGTGGGGTCTCCAGCAGCACCAGGTGAGACTTGAGTCCCTGGAACATGGAGGCTGCCACCACCGCAACCCCGTAGGCACAGCCAAGACAGCCCTACCCATTGCTCCCCCCACACCCCAGGACTGGGGCAGCTGCATCAGGAGTACCCTGCTCGGGGCTCTGCTTCTGCAGGAGATTGGTTTTGAGCTTAGGCTTGACTTCTGGGAAGCAGATGCTAACTAGCCAGGCAGTCTTCACGTGGCTGTGTGTGGTCTGCTTGAGATCGGGGCTCCTGAGCTCTCAGGAATTTGCTTTTGAAGAACAGCGGTGGCCCAGGAACAAGGTTTCAAACAACACTCATTCCCATCTCCAGGACATAGCAGAGACCCTGATGGGTGGGTCAAAAGGGTACACTACAATGTCTCCTGCAGTGTCCTACAGCATGGGAGGACAGGTGACAAGTGAGCATGGTGAGTGTGGCCTGGGCGTGGGCATGCTCTCCTGCTATTGATGAGTGACCTGGGCATGGGCATGCCCTCCTGTTCATGTCTCCCTGTGTCTTCTTGCTTCACTAGGCCACCTAGCCTCCTGAGGTCACCTCACAGTACAGGGTTAAGCCTCCCAGTGGTTCTGAAACAAACCACCCGAGGAAATACACTCAGGACCCTTAGGGGATACCTGGATCTCAGTGCCACTGCAGATGCCCCCCAGACGTACTCTGATGTACCCAAGATGAAGTTATTTCTAAATTAGAGACAGCAAGAGATTGACAGCGTTAGCCACCGATAATTAGAGTGGTCTTGACAAGATGCTGTAATAAAAGTCGGGCAAGTATGGTCTCCCTCCTACTCTTTCAAAGTAGCTTCAGTATTTTCTGATCATGGTTGACCTTGGGTAACGGAAACTGGACAGGATGGAAGAAGGTGCCCAAGACGCCATGAGGAGATAACACCCCTGACTCTGTGTGAGTCTTAAACTCCCCAGTGACCATTCAGTGCCCCACCCTTTCCTGCTTCCATCCTGGAGAGAAGCAAGTTTGTCTTGAGCTCCACTTCCCATTGTCTCCGTGCCAACATGGCCCCTTCATCCAGCAGATGTTTGCAGCCTTTGCAGGGTGCCAGAGGCCAGCGAGGAAGCCAATCCCACGTGCAGCCTGCATGATTGATTCCAAGGGGCAGGGGCTATGCTTCGGCCCTGATGCCATAGAGTCCCTGGCATCAAAGGAAGACAACAGTCTAACCAGGGGTCTCCCCCATCCTGGTCATCAGTGGGTGCAGCCCCAGGCCCCTCCAGCTCAGACGATCACTGCAAAGCAGAGAGCCAGGAAAGCAAGCAGAGAGGCCCCCTTGTTTGACACAGAGCTGCGCACGTCCATACCCTGCTCTGTAAGGCTTCAGGTGTCACAGGCACAGGAACACTCTGGGGCTCTCTAACACAGAGTTGTGCCTGTCACAACACTCCCGCCACCTCTGCCTTTCAGGTCCACGGGTATAGCTCAGGAGTAATGTCACGGAGATGCATTCGGGGACAGCCTTTCCACCATGAGATCTTGCAAAGGGCATGAGTCCGCTCCTGTCTTAGGGTTCCTATTGCTGTGATGAAACACCATGATCAAAGCAGCTTGGGGAGGAAAGGGCTTATTTGGCCTGTTTCCATTCCATTGTTCATTGCTGAAGGAAGTCAGGGCAGGAACTCACACAGGGCAGGAAGCTGCGGGCAGGATCTGATGCAGAGGCCATGGAGGATGCAGCTTACTGGCTTGTTCCCTGTGGCCTTGCTCATCCAGGACCACTGGCCCAGTGATGGCACTACCCACAATCAGCCCAGCCTTCCCATCAATCACTAATTAAGAAAGTGCCCTATGGGCCTGCCTACAGCCCTATCTTACAGAAGAAACTTCTCAATCGAGGCTCCCTTCTCTCGAATGATTTTAGTTCGTGTCAAGTTGACATAAAACTACCCAACCCAACTCCATAGGCAGAACAGCAAACCCTGGCATGAACCCACAGCTCCTTCAATGAGGTCTCTCAATGCAGAAGTGCCGGTCAAAGACAGTCCTTCTCAACCAGTGGATCGTAGCCTAAGACATCGGAAAGCACGGATATTTACATTACGAGTCATAACAGTAGCAGAATCACAGGTACCAAGCAGCAATGGAAATAGTTTTATGTTTGAGGGTCCACAACATGAGGAGCTGTATTAAAGGGTCACGGCATTGAGGTTGAGAACCGCTGGCCCAAACCTTCTTTCCCTGAGCACACTGTACAGCAGTTCTCAGAGTTCCCTGCAAACTTTTCTAATTGGAGTTGGGGGGAGGGATGCAGGCGGAGTCGCCTTTCTGTGGCTTGTCACCAGCACAGTCTCCCCTCCTAGGGAACCTGATTGCCATATCCTTTGCTGGGTGAGATGCATCCTGCTTTGAAAGGACATTGACAAATGCTTGTAGGTGCCCAAGGGTGCCCTCTAGTGGTCACTGGGGCTGCACACTGTGTGGAGCAGATCTAGGAGGCAGATTAGGGTTGGAGGTAGGGTTAGGGAGGTGGGGTTAAAAATTGGAAAGGCTGCTGTGACCAGGCCAATGCTGGCAAGCACAGCTACAGAGAAAAACAAGTATCAATTCCTGTGCCCAGAAAGAAGGCTGGAAATAGAACGTGGTCAGCCTGGAAGGGAGCTAGCCACCTCAGAAGTGACAGGCAGGACCCTGGCAGTACACACTCAAATCTAAGAACAGAAACTCAGATTCTACCTGGGTGGGAAATTAACAGTGTGTGTGTGGAGGGGTAGTTGAGAGTCACACTGTTCGCTCGTCTTTTGCTTACTTGAGGCAGGATCTCACTATGTAGCCCTGCCCTGCCTGTATGTAACTTATTGTCTGACCAAACTGGCTTTGAATTTGCAGGATACTTCTGCCTCTGCCTCCCAAGTGCCCCGATGTATCAAGCAATTTATTGAATCCCCCTTTATAGTATACATGAATTCTGTTCCTTTAGAGAACCCCAGATAAAACACCCCCCCACACACACTGTACCCTCTCCACATTACATTCCATAATCCAGTCTGCACACAAACTTTTGAAAGTGTCATTCATATCTATTAAGTATGACAAGGAAAGGGATGAACCGTCTAGTGGATATGCATTTGTATAACCACACGTGAACAACTACACTGGAATGGACTCCTTGCCTATAGTTCCAGGCTAGGTAAATGCAGGACACTGAGCCACAAAACGAAAACAGCTACCTGCCTGCCTTGGATGCTCCTCTTGTTTTTATTTTTCCTTCCTTCCTTCCTTTTTTTCTTCCTTTCTTTCATCTTTATTTCTTTCCTTCTGTCTCTCTCTTCCTTTCCTTCTGTCTCCCTTTCTATCTCTTTCTTCTTTGTTTCTCTCTCTGGGTCTTTACTTCTTCCTCTATGTCAGGGCTTTGGGACATGTTGTGTCCTGTTGTGTGTGATCCTGGGACAGTGACATCTCACTTCTGACTGCTGCCCTGAGACCTCTAGATGAGGGTCCCAAGTCCAAGGTCACTAAACAGGGTAGAGACCAGGCTCGAGTGCTATGTAAACTGCTCACCTTACATGGAAAGGCACAGAAAATCAGCCATCAAGTTAGATGTCAGCATTTAAAACATCAAAAGTAACGCAGACAGACTCAACAAACAACATGTGAAAACTCTGCCTTTGGAAAACAGTGCCCTACTTGAACACTGTAATCCTGCCGCTGCTCCCAATAAATCTTTATTTATAAAAGCAAGTAGGTGCCACGGAGGAAGGAGCTTTGCTAGCAGCAGGCACAAACATCGGTCTCCAGACTTTACTCTGACAGCCAATGACACTGTTTCCCTTGTGCATAGGGGCTGTCACAGTCACTCTTCCAGTCAGTCTGATATGCTGTCAACGTGAAAACCTGAGTTTTGGCCTTTCAATTGCCAGAGATCACATTGAGTCATTATTGCAAGTGCACTGGTGTTCATGGGGACCAAGGCCTTTTCCAAGGAGAAGAAGCCACGGAACCCCAGCTCAGTGAGAAGCAATGTTTTGTGGCCACTGTGCTGGGTAATTGGGACATAGAGTAGCATGGATGACGTGACCTCCAGAGGGTCCCTGCAGGAGCAGAGCTAAGGATCAGCCATGCAGCACAAGCAGGAGCCTCCACCCCCCCCGGATTCCCATGGTAGGTGCAGAGAAAGACACACAAGGAAAGGAAGACAGGGACCAAACGCTGTGGCACTGGGTAGGGATGTGAGATGCAGACCACTGTAGCTGTGAGCTCACAATATAGTCCACGCCCAGAAGGGGCGTGGTCAAGGGATGGGCACTGGTGAGAACAAAAGGAAGCAAAAGAAAATGTAAGCTCTCTCTTGGAAGCCTGCCATGCTTCTGTTCTTACAGCTTGTGTGGAAGTTCATTCTCTGGTAAATAAATATATTAATCTCCATATTGCATTGACCTCCCTCATCAGATCACTGCTCTCTGCCCTTTCACAAAGGGGAAGGGCACGCCTATAGTGAGGCAGATGTTAAATAGAGAAATACAGACAGGGACAGAATAGTAGATGGTTTTCCTACTTTGCTTTCTTAGTAAGAAAGATGGAAAGGTTTATAAACCTGGCAGGAGAAGGGTTTTTTTTTCAAGACAGAGTTTCTCTGTGGCTTTGGCAGTTGTCCTGGAACTAGCTCTATAGACCAGTCTGGCCTCAAACTCACAGAGATCTGCCTGCCTCTGCCTCCCAAGTGCTGGGATGTGTGCCACCATCGCCCTACAATGAAAGCTGTTTTTGTTGGTTTGTTTGTTTGTTTGTTTGTTTTCTTCTCATCTTATGGAAAAATGTAGTGTGGAAGGTTCTACCTGCCTGCAGTCCTAGTTAGCTCTAACTTAATTTGACAGAGTCTAGAGTCAGCTGTGAAAGCAGTCTCAGTTGAGGGCATTCCCAGGTCAGATGGGCTTTCCTGGGGCTGGGGCAGGGATTGTCTTATTTCATTGATGTAGAATGGCCTAGCCCAAAATGGGTGGCACCATCCCTAAGCCTGGACTTTATAAGGTCAATTCCCCCATGGACCAGGGATACCCTGTCCTTAGTAATGTGTGACCCTTCACCACCACCTCCTCCCCCATGTGACACACAGCAATAAACACAAGAGCAGAGGTCTCTGCAATCAGAACAGCCTTGTGCTGAGTGTGGGGTCTTTATTCTTCAGGGATCCAGGCTTCCATATTGGGCAGCAGCAGAGAGAGCAGAGCAGGGATGAATGCTAGCCTAGGCCACTGCCTCCAGCAGGAGACCAGGGTGCAGAGCTCCCTTCCCAGAAGCTGAACTGTGTTCAAATGTTTATTCTGGAAAGAAAGGAAAGGGTCAAGGTGAATCAGGCCATTCCCCCCAGGAATGCGTAGGATCCAAGGCCAGCACCTGGCCCCATTCTTCCCCAGTCTCAGGGGATGTGAACCATCCAAAGCCTGCAGGAGGCACAGTGCATCCTTGCTGGTATCAATAAACCAGATAACTGGACCCCAGTGGTCCTGGCAGGGTATGTGAGATGGTACCTGGAATGGAGCCAGAGGCAAGTGACCTGCCAATCCTGGTGCAGTAGACAGACCCTGCCACTGCCTCTGACTATACTCAGTCCTCCTTCCTGGCTCTGCTGAAGGAGAAGAGCCTGCACACAGCACACATCCACTCAGCGGGGGCTCAGTAGTCTATTACCCAGGACAAACAGCACATCTGGCCTCCATGGGTGCCAGCCCAGGAAGGTGCCTTGCAGAGATACAACCTCTTAGAAGGTGAACCAGCATTTGGATGTGACAGATGGATCACAGTAGGTGTCCCACTAAGATGTGGCAGGTTAGGCCTGGGTAAAACAGAATTGGCAAGACACCCATGTGCCTGGACATCTGCTGTTTGCACATGGCCTAACCAAGGGAATCTCAAGTATTTTCATTGCTCACACTCCACCCCTAGAGGGAGTAAGAGAGGAAGGAGAGTGGCAGGCACCAGGGCACAAGCACAGTCATCTGGGTCCTGATCTGTTGTGAGCCTGTCACAGGTGACCAGGGACTATAGATGTTCACTATAACAGGCTCAAAATCAGACCAGTGCCACAGCAACATGGTGTCTCTGTTTCACACCAGTGTCCACCGAGTGTGTGTGTGTGTGTGTGCGCACGCGCGCGCGTGAGATTGAGAGAGAGAGACAGAGACAGAGAGACAGAGAGAGACAGAGACAGAGACAGAGAGACAGAGAGAGACAGAGACAGAGACAGAGACAGAGAGACAGAGAGAGACAGAGACAGAGAGACAGAGAGACAGAGAGCCTGCCTGCATGTATGTGTGTGGGGAATGGGGTGGGCAGAAATCAGCCTAAAGTTTTGTTCCTCAGGAGACATTTATTTGGTGTGTGTGTGTGTGTGTGTGTGTGTACATGCATGTGTGTCTCTACATGTATTTGATTTGTGTGTGCGCGCATGTGAAGGGGAGCATGCCAGTGCACAGATAGAGGTCAGAGCACACTTGGTGGCGTCTGTTCCCTTTTAGCATCGAGTGGGTTTCAGGAATGGAATCCGGGTCCTCAGGCTGGGCAGTAGCGCCTTTACCTTGTGAGCCACCTCAATAGTCCTTCCTTGCTATTGAGACAGGGTCTGCACTGGCTTGGATGTCTCCATTAGGCTAGGCCGGCCATCAAACCAGATCTGACTGTCTCTGCATCCCCAGTGATGAGGGTCCAAGCATGACCCTCCACACATGGCTTTTTGACATGGTTTCATGAATCAAACTCATGTCTTCATGCTTGTGTGGGAAGCATTTTACTGACTGGGTCCTCTCCCGGGCCCTCAGAGCACATGATAATATGTCACAGACAGGGTCAGTCGTCTACGGCCATACCACCCTGAACGCGCCCAATCTGGTCTGATCTCGGGAAGCTAAGCAGGGTCGGGCCTGGTTAGTACTTAGTAATTGGATGGGAGACAGGGTCAGTCACTGCTCACTTGCTGCCCTGGGCACTAAGGAACAGTGACAATGCTGTTGTCCTGCTAAGGTCCAGCCACAGGGAAGGACTGGCCTGCCCTGGGTACCACTCGATGGCCTTACCTGTCTGATGCAGAAGAAAGAAGCACCAGGGTGCTCTCAGGATGCTGGAGTCAAAGCAGCAGCCCCGATGGTTGCACTCCTCTTCTGAGATGCCAGGGAAGCCACAGTCTTTCCTGTGTTCTGGTGGGACCTTACACTCGCTTAGAGCTGTCCAAATAAAACCCAGTCAGCTGCCCATCTACACGTTTGGGTTGCCTTCTTGCTTCCTGAGTAACCCTCTCCACCCGTCCTCCTGATTTCAAAGATGGTGACAGTGTTGCCCCATAGGGATGTCTACACAAAAGCAGTTCATTATGAAGTGAAGCTGCCTGGATCTCCCTGACAGCGGAGAGTGGAGATCCTGAGCTAGAATCATTCCGGGACTGCCCTTAGTTCCTTTCTTGGTTGTTTACCAACCCTCCCTGCAACTGACTAGATCCTTTGGCTATCAGGTGAAACCTTTGGAGTGTGTTGCCTTAACAGACCCCTAGCTGCCACCAACCCCAAAGCTAAGAATGCCATCAGTTAACAGCCAAAGCTGTGGCAAAGCCCCTACCCTCTGCTGTATCCCTGAAATCCCCATCTGTGAACTTCACAAATGCCTCAATTTAGGACAGTCTTTTGTTTTCTGCAGACCTTCTTGCAGCAACTTGCATGGTGGAAGGGACAGTTTCCTGGCCACAGCCACTCATCTTGACTGGTGATAAATCTTTTTTTGGTTTGTTTTGTTTTTTTGAGACAGCATCTCATGTAGCCCAGGCTGGCTTTGAACTCGCTCACACTCCTGGATTTGGGAGGATAGCTGTGGTTTGCACATACTGCTGAAAGCTTACCCAAGGAACTTGGAGATTTTCATAGTGCCCCTCACTTGGCTTAACTGTTCCACCTGGTCAGAAAGTCAAACGGGTCTCCACACCCTTCAACTGGCAGAGTCCCTGGGAATCTAGATGCCCTACAATTGTCACTGTTCATGGGAATCCAGGGGTTCGTGAACCCCAAAACACAGTCCTGTCCTTGTTTGACCCATTAGAACTCCCCCTCCAGAGTGGAAAGTGTCCCAGGAGGTTTCATGCCACAGGGAAGGTGGCCATGTGAACTACTCTAATGTCTCTGCTGCAGAATCCACCACAAGGCGGTTAGCTTGACCCGTCCAGTCTGTGACCTTCCTCCATCTCCAGTGTTCCTGCTTCCTGGCCGTGTGTTTATCCATGTGTGGCCTGAAGCCTGCCTCCCCCAACCTGCTAACTGATTGCCCTGTGAACGTGGAATCCCAGTCCTCTCCCACATCTCCCCTGAAACTGCGGGTCCATCTTGCCTTACTTGTTTACTCCAGACCTTGACCTGGAGCCTTAAGCAATTTTTGAAACTTTTGAAACTTCAACCTGGCTCCTCCAAGATGTTCTGACTCAAACGACTTGCTGGGGCAGGAGAGCCCCTCACTCTCTTCACCCTGGTCAGGTGTGACCAGCGAAGGTCACCCACGATGTCTCTGCTCTTAGCCTCCTCTCCCCCAGAACTGTGATTCCGTCGTTTCTCTAAACTATCTGGAGCTTCTTCTGCCTTCTTAACTGCTTATTTTCTGTTCTGGTAACTCGCCAGGATGGTGTGTAAAGACCATCACGGCTCAGAAATCTCCGGTAAGGAAGGGAATGAGAGGCAATGAGCTCCAGCCGTCTCTCCCACCCCAGCCTTGGTTCCCACCCAGCTGCAGACTCTGAGTGAGGAGGAGAGCGGTATGTTCAATCTCACTGAGCCTCCATTATCCTGACTGTGAAATGGGACTAAAGAGCCACTCTGTAGAATTGCTGCAAGAGAAAGGGTGACTGGTGAATGGTAATTAGTTATTAAATTGGTGTAGCACTAGGCAGGTGTTCTGTGTCCCTCTCCCTGCTGAGACCTCCCAGCCTGGCACCCAGGGACCCAGAAAGGTACTTACCCAGGCCCACATACTCTGCACCTATCCCAGAGGACCCTGCAAGCAGGACCAGCAGCATTAGCCACAGGGTTCTGGTCTCCATGGCAGCGGGCAAGCTTCAGGATCAGCACACAGGATGTGCAGGGTCACTGTGAAGGCCTTTTTATACCCATGTTTGCTGGGCTCTGTGGACTCTGACCTGGAGCTCCACCACCTTCTAGAGAATTCCAGAAGACTCCTCCCCCATACTGAGTCAGGGGATGGGGTGGATGTCAGGGAGAGGGACAGGGCTGGGGTGGGGACAGCCATTGCAGAGTCCAGCCTGAGAGCAAGGTCTGTCAATCATTGTATGAGCCTAGTGTGGAAGAATGCTCTGTCAGGCTGCAAGGGACCAAGGGAAATTTAGTCTTGTGGTCCCAACCACCTCCCAGGAGCAATGCAAAGGACCCTGACACCTGAAATCAAGTGACAACTGTGCTGGGTCCCTTGGTTTCTCCCTCATCTGTCGCTCTTAAAGGCAGAAACCCTGGCTCTGCACTATCTCCAGGAAAGCCATTTGTATTATTAATTTCACTTTTAGAAATACCTGAATTACATTTATTCAATGCATTTTAATAAAAATAATATACATTTAGCATTAAAAATCAATTAAAGGAAGTCACCATTATTGTCCAGAGATATACTTTTCAGCACTTCCAGAATCTAGAGTTAAGTGAATTTGTAAAAAAGTAACTATGTGTGTGTGTGTTGGTTGATAGTCACACTGTTTGATCATTTTTGTGCTTGTCTGAGGCAGGGTTTTACTATGTGGCCTGCCCAGCCTATAAGCAGGGCTTTGAATATGCAGAGATCTTTCTGCATCTATCTGTGCAGAAACTTTTGAAAGGGCATTCATTCCTGTTAAGTATGAGAAGTGAAGGGATAAACTACATAATGAATATGTATTTGTCCAAGGCCCAGGGGATGTAGTGGGTGTCTAAGATGCCAGAGCCCCTGCACAAAATCACCAAGAGCAGGAGCCCTCACATGCTGAGTGGCCAGCTGTGTAGTGATGGAATGGACACCTTGCCTATAGTTCCAGGCTAGGTAAATGCAGGACACTGAGCCACAAAACAAAAACAGCTACCTGCCTGCCTAGGATGCCCCTCTTGTTTTTATTTTTACTTCCTTCCTTCCTCCCTTCCTTCCTCCCTTCCTTCCTTCCTTTCTTTCGTCTTTATTTCTTTCCTTCTGTCTGACTTCCTTTCCTTCTGTCTCTCTTCCTTTCTTTCTGTCTCTCTTCTTTGTTTCTCTCTCTCTCTTCTTTGTTTCTCTCTCTCTTCTTTGTTTCTCTCTCTCTCTGTCTCTCTCTCTGTCTGTCTTTCCTGCTTCCATTCTTTCTGTCACCTTGACTTGAGGTTGATTTCTCTGGGAAGATGAAAACTGAATTGAGAAAATGCCTCCATCAGACTCGCCTGCGGGCAAATCAGTGGGGTACTTTCTTGATTACTAATTGACAAGGGACCGTGCGGCCCACTGTGGTACGGCCACCCCTAGGCCAGTGGTCCTGAGATATAGGAGAAAGCAGGCTGAGCAAGCCTAAGGAAGCAGCCAGGAAACAGATTTCTTCATGGCTTTGGCTTCAGTTCTTGTGTCTGGGATCCTGGCATGAGTTCCCTCAGGGTGGACATTAACCTGTAACCAAATCAGCTTTTCCTCCTGGCTCTTTCATGTCCTGGTAGTTATCACAGCAACAGAGAAACAAACTAGGACATAACCTACGTCAGGATGCAATAGAGGGCAGGGCCTGGGTTCAAATGATGAAAACAGGTTTGCAGCCTCCATGAGCACACAGGACCCTGGATAGTCAAAGAAAGAGGCAGGACTCTATTGGAGGACACTTGGCACATCACAGACTCTCACCATCTCTGGACTATTAGCCAGCCTTGTCCCCATCTTCATATGACACTCACAAATGCACACCAAGTGTACAAACACCCACAAGGCAATACAGTAAGACTATGTGTCGGAGCCACAATCCACCCAAGCACCAGATAGGCAGCAGCACCAAGATGGGCTTGGATGGGAGATGTCTATCTTTGGCCTACCTGTGTCCCACAGGTCCCACAGGACATCACAGGCTACAGGGTGACAACGGGCTTGTCAATCACAGCCAGGAAGTGTCAGCACCTAGCTGGCTCAAAACACAGAGTCAGAGGGGATAAAAAACAACACACAGTCCAGAGTTTCTCACGGAAATAGTTGGCTCATGGCTGGACTCTCTCAGGACACAGGGAAATTTAGGAAGCTAGAAAGTAGTTGACAAGAGCTGAGAAGCAGCCCCTCCTCCAGTATGCCAGCAGAGGGCAGTGTGAAGCCATGTGAGTTCCATGCATGGTTTCTGATTCAGTCCTGGTGGGCTCACAGCTGCCTTTACTAAGGCATGGAAGACACTCCCAGACATTCTAGAGTGAACACCAGGGCTCCTGGAGTGTTGTCAGATTGCCTTCAGCTGAGCCCACAGCACCCTCCCCGAGGCTCTGAGTTCCCATGGTCAGGGCCAGGCAGAGGTTGACTGGGGGGGGGGCTGTAAGCAAAGTAAGATGAGGGCCAGGCCTGCTGCACCCCCAAGAGGGCAAGAAGTTCAGTGCACCAGCCCCACAGAGAAAGGGTGCTCCCCTCGAGTGACAGCAACCATGTGGCTTGGCTAAAGACCAGAGAGTGACACGGTGTGGTTGTTCTATGAGCTTCAGACAGGAAGGTGGGCAGTGTGGATGAACCGTGACAGGTTAGTGGAGCCAAACTGGAACCCTGAAGTTCAGATCCTATGGGTCCTTTTTACAAACAGCCGCTCTGGAACTGGGTTTGCATTCATCTGTGTAATGCAAACACGGACGTTACAAGTCAGAGGATTCCTAAAGGCCTGGGGGTACCTAACCTCCAAGGTTAACCAAATCTGACCTCCCACCTGTGTGTGAGAACACAGAACCTGACCCCTCCTGGAGCTTGGAAGGCCCTGAGCTGTTAACCCTGGCATGGGCCTCCTCTATCAGTTTCCATGCATTCACCACAGCAGGCACTGGTGACTCCCCCGTGGGGACCTCTGTGACCCTGCTCTCTTATTTCCAGGAATGCTTTAATTGGACTTACAGACACTGAGGTGACACCTCGGCAATGGGACATGACAGAAGCTTTCCCTACACTTGGGCTTACTGGCCAGCTCCCCTGGGTCTCTGCCTTCAGCAAGCAGAGCAGGAAAAGGGTGAAGGAAGTCAGGCACCTACCCCACCTGAAAATGGGGGGGGGGTGGACACCGGAGAGCTCAGTGCTCAAGCTCACAATTCAGACAGCATTAAAACTGAGAGGCAGGCTGGAGACAGTTTAGTAGTTAAGACTGAGGTGAACCTCAGTGTCCTTCCTGATATTAGCAGGAGGACAGCATGAAGGGCTCCTTGGGGTTCTAAACAGGGACATCCTGGTACCCCCACTCTATGTCAGGGCTTTGGGACATGTTGTGTCCTGTTGTGTGTGAGCCTGGGGCAGTGACATCTCACTTCTGACTGCTGCCCTGAGAACTCTAGGCCGGGGTCCCAAGTCCAAGGTCACAAAGCAGTGTAAGGACCACGCTCAAGCACCATGTAACCTGTTAACCTTGCATGGAAAGGCACAGAAAATCAGCCATCAAGTTAGATGTCAGCATTTAAAACATCAAAAGTAACGCAGACAGACTCAACAAACAACATGTGAAAACTCTGCCTTTGGAAAACAGTGTCCTACATGAACAATGTAATCCTGACGCTGCTCCCAATAAATCTTTATTTATAAAAGCAAGTAGGTGCCACGGAGGAAGGAGCTTTGCTAGCAGCAGGCACAAACATCGGTCTCCAGACTTTACTCTGACAGCCAATGACACTGTTTCCCTTGTGCATAGGGGCTGTCACAGTCACTCTTCCAGTCAGTCTGATATGCTGTCAACGTGAAAAGCTGAGTTTTGGCCTTTCAATTGCCAGAGATCACATTGAGTCATTATTGCAAGTGCACTGGTGTTCATGGGGACCAAGGCCTTTTCCAAGGAGAAGAAGCCACGGAACCCCAGCTCAGTGAGAAGCAATGTTTTGTGGCCACTGTGCTGGGTAATTGGGACATAGAGTAGCATGGATGACGTGACCTCCAGAGGGTCCCTGCAGGAGCAGAGCTAAGGATCAGCCATGCAGCACAAGCAGGAGCCTCCACCCCCCGGATTTCCATAGTGGGTGCAGAGAAAGACACACAAGGAAAGAAAGACAGGGACCAAACGCTGTGGCACTGGGTAGGGATGTGAGATGCAGACCACTGTAGCTGTGAGCTCACAATATAGTCCACGCCCAGAAGGGGCGTGGTCAAGGGATGGGCACTGGTGAGAACAAAAGGAAGCAAAAGAAAATGTAAGCTCTCTCTTGGAAGCCTGCCATGCTTCTGTTCTTACAGCTTGTGTGTAAGTTCTTTCTCTGGTAAATAAATATATTAATCTCCATATTGCATTGACCTCCCTCATCAGATCACTGCTCTCTGCCCTTTCACAAAGGGGAAGGGCACGCCTATAGTGAGGCAGATGTTAAATAGAGAAATACAGACCGGGACAGAATAGTAGATGGTTTTCCTACTTTGCTTTCTTAGTAAGAAAGATGGAAAGGTTTGTAAGCCTGGCAGGAGAAGGGTTTTTTTGTTTGTTTGTTTGTTTTAGAGACAGAGTTTCTCTGTTGCTTTGGCAGTTGTCCTGGAACTAGCTCTGTAGACCAGTCTGGCCTCAAACTCACATGATCTGCCTGCCTCTGCTCCCAAGTGCTGGGATGTGTGCCCCCATCGCCCTACAATGAATGCTGTTTTTGTTGGTTTGTTAGTTTATTTGTTTGTTTGTTTTATTCTCATCTTATAGAAAAATGTAGTGTAGAAGGTTCTACCTGCCTGCAGTCCTAGTTAGCTCTAACTCAGTTTGACAGAGTCTAGAGTCAGCTGTGAAAGCAGTCTCAGTTGAGGGCATTCCCAGGTCAGATGGGCCTTCCTGGGGCTGGGGCAGGGATTGTCTTATTTCTTCATTGATATAGTATAGCCCAGTACCATGGGTGGCACCATCCCTAAGCCTGGACTTTATAAGAAAGTCAACTGAGCAGAGCCCAAGACTGCCCGCAGCAAGCTTCCTTCCTGGTTTCTGCTTCAAGTTCCTGTTTGAGTTACTTCAGTGATGGGACTGGGACCTGGAAAGGTCAGGCAGATAAACCCTTCCTCCCTTGAGTTGATTGGGGTCAGAGTGTTTCATTACAGAAATAGAGGGGACTAGGACCCTCACCTTGAGGGCTCCTGGCTGGAGGCTCTGGCTCTCAGTGTGTTGCAGGAACTCAGGGTCAGTTCCCCATGGGCCAGGGATACCCTGTCCTCAGTGATGTGTGACCCTTCACCACCACCTCCCCCCAAGAGTGACACACAGAAATATACACAAGAGCAGATGTGATAGAAAAATAAGTAACTAAAAGACATAAACGTTTAGGCTGTGACAAAGAAAGAGAGAAAACCCCTTGACCAGAGAATATGTGACCAGAGACCACAGATGGCTCCCAGGAGGAAAGGAAGCTGGAACCCACGAGCAGCTGTGTCAACATCTGCCCCTGCTCCCTTGTCTTGAGAGAACTGAAAACCAGATGGCCTCTTCCCTACCAGTTGTAAAACTTTTAGATCACAAGATGTGCCAATTAATTTTACCTGACCAGGTGACACTTACTGCGTTCTTCAAGGCTCTTTGTTTTCTGATAACCTTGTATGTAAACTTTGTGTGCTAAGTAATCTCTGTAACCATGGAATCCTTGGGAACTGAGACTTGCAATCTTATGATCACTCTCCCACTTCTTTAAAAATGCCTTGTAATTCCAAGACAGGGCCTTACTCTCCCCATAGAGTAGAAGGGTCCAAGCTAGTTAGTTTAGAATGAAAATCTTTTGTGCCTGTATTGGAGTGTCAGTAACTCCTTGGAGTCTTGGGGTGTCTCTCTCTCTCTGGGCACAACACAGAGGTCTCTGCAATCAGAGCAGCCTTGTGCTGAGTGTGGGGTCTTTATTCTTCAGGACTCTAGGCTCCTATATTGGGCAGCAGCAGAGAGAGCAGAGCAGGGATGAGTGCTTCCCTCGGCCAAAGTATCCAGCAAGAGTCCAGGGTATAGAACTCCCGTCCCAGAGGCTGGACTGTGTCCAAATGTTTATTCTGGAAAGAAAGGAAAGGGTCAAGGTGAATCAGGTCATTCCCTCCTCCCATCCCCAGGGCTCTCTGGCTTCCAAGGCCAGCACCTGACTGCCTTCTTCCCCAGTCTCAGGTGATATGAACCTTCCAAAGCCTGCAAGAGGCACAGTGCATCCTTGCTGGCATCACCAAACCAGATAACTGGACCCTCAGTGGTCCTGGCAGGGGTATGTGAGATGGAACCTGGAATGGAGCCAGAGAAAAGTGACCTGCCAATCCTGGGGGAGTAGACAGACCATGCCACTGCCTCTGACTATACTCAGGCCTCCTTCCTGGCTCTGCTGAAGGAGAGGAGCCTGCACACAGCACACATCCACTCAGCGGGGGCTCAGTAGTCTGTTACCCAGGCCAAACAGCACATCAGGCCTCCATGGGTGCCAGCCCAGGAAGGTACAACCTCTTGCAGAGATACAACCTCTTAGAAGGTGAACCAGCATTTGGATGTGACAGATGGCTCACAGTGGATGTCCCACTAAGATGTGGCAGTTTAGGCCTGGGTAAAACAGAATTGGCAAGACACCCATGTGCCTGGACATCTGCTGTTTGCACATGGCCTAACCATGGGAGCCTCAGGGTATTTGCTTTGCTCACACTCCACCCCTAGAGGGAGTAAGAGAGGCAGGAGAGTGGGGGGCACCAGGGTCCTGATCTGGGTCATCTGGGTCCTGATCTGCTGTGAGCCTGTCACAGGTGACCAGGGACTATAGATGTTCACTATAACAGGCTCAAAATCAGACCAGTGCCAAAGCAACATGGTGTCTCTGTTTCATACCAGTTTCCACCGTGTGTGTGTGTGTGTGTGTGTGTGTGTGTGTGTGTGTGTCTACATGTATTTGATTTGTGTGTGCACGCATGTGAAGGGGAGCATGCCAGTGCACAGATGGAAGTCAGAGCACACTTGGTGGCGTCTGCTCCCTTTCAGAACCATATGGGTTTCAGGAATGGACTCCAGATCCTACCTTGCTATTGAGACAGGTTCTGTATTGGCATGTATCTGGCCATTAGGCTAAGCTGGCTGGCCATCAAACCCCAGAGATCTGACTGTCTCTGAGTCCCTATCGATGAGGGCACAAGCATGAACCTCCACACATGGCTTTTTGACATGGTTACATGAATCAAACATATGTCCTCATGCTTGTGTGGGAAGCATTTTACTGACTGGGTCCTTCCCAGGCCCTCGGAGCTCATGATTATATGTTACAGACAGGGTCAGTCACTGCTCACTTGCTGCCTGGGCGCTAAGTCCCTGCTATGAGGTTTCCCCCGTGAGGCCTCCAACAAGGAACAGTGACAATGCTGTTGCCCTGCTAAGGTCCAGCCACAGGGAAGCACTGGCCTGCCCTGGGTACCACTTACCTGTCTGATGCAGAGGAAAGAAGCACCAGGGTGCTCTCTGGATGCGGGAGTCAAAGCAGCAGCCCCGATGGTTGCACTCCTCTTCTGAGATGCCAGGGAAGCCACAGTCTTTCCTGTGTTCTGGTGGGACCTTACACTCGCTTAGAGCTGTCCAAATAAAACCCAGTCAGCTGCCCGTCTACACGTTTGGGTTACCTTCTTGCTTCCTGAGTAACCCTCTCCACCCGTCCTCCTGATTTCAAAGATGGTGACAGTGTTGCCCCATAGGGATGTCTACACAAAAGCAGTTCATTATGAAGTGAAGCTGCCTGGATCTCCCTGACAGCGGAGAGTGGAGATCCTGAGCTAGAATCATTCCGGGGCTGCCCTTAGTTCCTTTCTTGGTTGTTTACCACCCCTTGCTGCACCTGACTAGATCCTTTGGCTATCAGGTGAAACCTTTGGAGTGTGTTGCCTTAACAGACCCCTAGCTGCCACCAACCCCAAAGCTAAGAATGCCATCAGTTAATAGCCAAAGCTGTGGCAAAGCCCCTACCCTCTGCTGTATCCCTGAAATCCCCATCTGTGAACTTCACAAATGCCTCAGTTTAGGACAGTCTTTTGTTTTCTGCAGACCTTCTTGCAGCAACTTGCATGGTGGAAGGGACAGTTTCCTGGCCACAGCCACTCATCTTGACTGGTGATAAATCTTTGTTTTTAGAGGCAGGATATCATGTAGCCCAAGCTGGCCTTGAACTGGCTGCACACTCATGGAATTAAAAGGATAGCTGTGGTTTGCAATACTGCTGGATGCTAACCCAAGGAACTTGGCCATTTGCATGGTGTCCTTTGATTGGCTTATTCATCTCACCTGGTCAGAATGTCATACATAGGTCCCCGAAGTCTCGATGCCCTTCAACTGGAAGGGTTCCTGGGTATCCAGGGGCTCCTTTTCCCCAAATAAAGGTCCCTTCCTTGTTTGATGCATAAGAACTCCCCCTCCAGAGTGGAAAGTGTCCCAGGAGGTTTCATGACTTTGGGAAGGTCGCCATCTGAACTATTCTAATGTCTCTGCTGCAGAATCCATCACAAGGTGGTTAGCTTGTCCCATCCAGGCTGTGACCTTCCTCCATCTCCAGTGTTCCTGCTTCATGGTCCTGTGTTTATCCACGTGTGACCCTGACCCTGCCACCTCCCACCCACTAACTGATTTCCACTATAAAAGTGGAATCCAGAAACCTTCTACATCTCCCCTAAACTGCGGGTCCACCTTGCCTTATTTGTTTACTCCAGACCTTGACCTGGGGCCTTAAGGGACCTTTTGAAACTTCAACCTGGCTCCTCCTCCAAGATGTTCTGATGTAACTGACAGCCTGGGGCAGCTGAGTTGCACAGTCCCCAGGTGACTCCCTCTCTTCTCCCTGGTCAGGTGTGACCAGCGAAGGAGGACCAAACAGTTGTGGCACTGGGTAGGGATGTGACGTGCTGACCACTGCTCTGTGTCTTTGATAAACGGGGGTCACCTATAGTGAGGCAGATGTTAAATAGATGATACAAACCAGGACAGAAGAGTAGATGGTCTTCCTACTTTGCTTTCTTAATAAGAAAGATGTAAAGATTTGTAAACCTTGTAGGAGAGGTGTTTTATATTAGTTTGTTAGTTTATTTGTTTGCTTTCTTCTCATCTTAAATAGAAAATGAGGTGTGGAAGGTTCTGCTGTCCTGCTGTCCTAGTCAGCTCTAACTCAGTTTGACAGAGTCTAGAGTCAGCTGTGAAAGCAGTCTCAGTTGAGGGCATTCCCAGGTCAGATGGGCCTTCCTGGGGCTGGGGCAGGGATTGTCTTATTTCTTCATTGATATAGAAGGCCACGCCCACCATGGGTGGCACCATCCCTATTTCTGAGCTTCATAACCACGTCAACTGGTCGGGAACCCAAGACTGCCAGCAGGAGGCATCCTTCCTGGTTTCTGCTTCAATTTCCTGCTTGAGTTCCCTCAGTGATGGGACTGTGACCTGGAAATGCCAGCCAGACAACCCCTTCCTCCCCAGAGTTGATTTGCATCACACCATTTCATTACAGAGGGGAGTAGGATGCTCGCCTTGAGGGCTCCTGTGTGTTGCAGGAACTCAGGGTCAGTTCCCCATGGGCCCGGGATAACCCTGTCCTCAGTGAAGTGTGACCCTTCACCACCACCTCCCCCCAAGAGTGACACGCAGAAATAAACACAAGAGCAGATGTCTCAGCAATCAGAGCAGCCTTGTGCTGAGTGTGGGGTCTTTATTCTTCAGGACTCCAGGCTCCTATATTGGGCAGCAGCAGAGAACAGAGCAGGGATGAACGCTGGCCTTGGCTGCTGCCTCCAGCAGGAGACCAGGGTGCAGAGCTCCCTTCCCAGAGCTTGGATTGCTTCAAAATGTGCATTCTGGGAACAAAAGAAAGGTCAAGATGAGTGGGTCATCCCCAACCAGGGCTCTCTGGCTTCCAAGGCCAGCACCTGACTGCCTTCTTCCCCAGTCTCAGGGGATGTGAACCATCCAAAGCCTGCAAGAGGCACAGTGCATCCTTGCTGGCATCACCAAACCAGATAACTGGACCCCAATGGTCCGGGCAGGGTATGTGAGATGGTACCTGGAATGGAGCCAGAGGCAAGTGACCTGCCAATCCTGGGGGAGTAGACAGACCATGCCACTGCCTCTGACTATACTCAGGCCTCCTTCCTGGCTCTGCTGAAGGAGAGGAGCCTGCACACAGCACACATCCACTCAGCGGGGGCTCAGTTACCCAGGCCAAACAGTATATCAGGCCTCCATGGGTGCCAGCCCATGCAGAGATACAACCTCTTAGAAGGTGAACCAGCATTTGGATGTGACAGATGGCTCACAGTAGATGTCCCACTAAGATGCGGCGGTTTAGGCCTGGGTAAATCAGAATTGGCAAGACATCCTTGTGCCTGGACATCTGCTGTTTGCACATGGCCTAACCAAGGGAATCTCAAGTATTTTCCTTGCTCACACTCCACCCCTAGAGGGAGTAAGAGAGGAAGGAGAGTGGGGGGCACCAGGGCACAAGCACAGTCATCTGGGTGCTGATCTGCTGTGAGCCTGTCACAGGTGACCAGGGACTATAGAAGTTCACTATAACAGACTCAAAAGCAGACCAGCTACAAGGTGTCTCTGTTTCACACCAGTTTCCACCGTGTGTGTGTGTGTGTGTGTGTGTGTGTGTGAGAGAGAGAGAGAGAGAGAGAGAGAGACAGAGAGAGACAGAGAGAGAGAGAGAGAGAGAGAGAGAGAGAGAGAGAGAGAGAGAGAGAGAGAGAGAGAGAGAGAGAGAGAGAGAGACATCCTGGATGTATGTGTGTTGGGGAGAGGTGGGCAGAAGTCAGCCTAAAGTTTTGTTCCTCAGGAGACATTTGCTTGTGTGTGTGTGTGTGTGTGTGTGTGTGTGAGAGAGAGAGAGAGAGAGAGAGAGAGAGAGAGAGACAGAGACAGAGAGACAGAGAGACAGAGAGAGAGAGACAGAGACAGAGACAGAGAGACAGAGAGACAGAGAGACAGAGAGACAGAGAGCCTGCCTGCATGTATGTGTGTGGGGAATGGGGTGGGCAGAAATCAGCCTAAAGTTTTGTTCCTCAGGAGACATTTGTTTGGTGTGTGTGTGTGTGTGTGTGTGTGTGTGTCTGTGTGTGTGTGTACATGCATGTGTGTCTCTATATATATTTGATTTGTGTGTGCGCGCATGTGAAGGGGAGCATGCCAGTGCACAGATGGAGGTCAGAGCACACTTGGTGGCGTCTGTTCCCTTTTAGCATCGCGTGGGTTTCAGGAATGGAATCCGGGTCCTCAGGCTGGGCAGCAGCCCCTTTATCTTGTGAGCCACCTCAATAGTCATGCTTTGCTATTGCGACAGGGTCTGCACTGGCATGGATGTCTCCATTAGGCTAGGCTTGCCATCAAACCAGATCTGACTGTCTCTGCCTCCCCAGTGATGAGGGTCCAAGCATGACCCTCCACACATGGCTCTTTGACATGGTTTCATGAATCAAACTCATGTCTTCATGCTTGTGTGGGAAGCATTTTACTGACTGGGTCCTCTCCCAGGCCCTCAGAGCACATGATTATATTTTATAGATAGGGCCAACCTGGCCCCTTGCTGCCCTGAGCACAAAGCCCCTGATAGGAGGTCTCCCATGTGAGTCCTCCAACAAGGAACAGTGACAATGCTGTTGTCCTGCTAAGGTCCAGCCACAGGGAAGTTCAGGGCTGCCCTGGGTACCACCGGGTGACCTTACCTGTCTCCTGCAGGGGCTTGAAGCACCAGGGCACATTCCGGATGCTGGAGTCGAAGCAGCAGCCCCGGTTATTACACTGCTCTTCCGTGACACTGGGGTAGCCACAGTCCACCCTGGCTTTCGCCGGGACCATACACTGACTTGGAGCTGTGCAAATGGAAGCCAGTCAGCTGCCCGTCTACACGTTTGGGTTGCCTTCTTGCTTCCTGAGTAACCCTCTCCACCCGTCCTCCTGATTTCAAAGATAGTGACAGTGTTGCCCCATAGGGGATGCCTACACAAAAGCAGTTCATTATGAAGTGAGGCTCCCTGGATCTCCCTGACAGCGGAGAGTGGAGATCCTGAGCTAGACTCATTCCGGGGCTGCCCTTAGTTCCTTTCTTGGTTGTTTACCACCCCTCCCTGCAACTGACTAGATCCTTTGGCTATCAGGTGAAACCTTTGGAGTGTGTTGCCTTAACAGACCCCTAGCTGCCACCAACCCCAAAACCAAGAATGCCATCAGTTAATAGCCAAGCTCCCACCCTCTGCTGTATCCCTGAAATCCCCATCTGTGAACTTCACAAATGCCTCAGTTTAGGACAGTCTTTTGTTTTCTGCAGACCTTCTTGCAGCAACTTGCATGGTGGAAGGGACAGTTTCCTGGCCACAGTCACTCATATTGACTTGTGATAAATCTTTTTTTGGTTTGTTTTGTTTTTTTTGAGACAGCATCTCATGTAGCCCAGGCTGGCTTTGAACTTGCTCACACTCCTGGATTCGGGAGGATAGCTGTGGTTTGCACATACTGCTGAAAGCTAACCCAAGGAACTTGGAGATTTGCATAGTGCCCCTCACTTGGCTTAACTATTCCACCTGGTCAGAAAGTCATAAACGGGTCTCCACACCCTTCAACTGGCAGAGTCCCTGGGAATCTAGATGCCCTACAATTGTCACTGTTCATGGGAATCCAGGGGCTCCTGAACCCCAAAACACAGTCCCGTCCTTGTTTGACCCATTAGAACTCCCCCTCCAGAGTGGAAAGTGTCCCAGGAGGTTTCATGCCACAGGGAAGGTGGCCATGTGAACTACTCTAATGTCTCTGCTGCAAAATGCACCACAAGGCAGTTAGCTTGTCCCGGTCAGTCTGTGACCTTCCTCCATCTCCAGTGTTCCTGCTTCCTGGCCGTGTGTTTATCCATGTGTGACCCGAAGCCTGCCTCCCCCAACCCTCTAACTGATTTCCCCTGTGAAAGTGGAGACCCAGCAACCTTCTCCATCTCCCCCACCTCACTGGATCCATCATGCCTTCCTCAGCTACTCCAGACCTTGAAATGGGGCCCTAAGTGGCCTTTTCAAAGCTTCAACCTGGCATCAGCTACCGGATGCTTTTACATGCCTGGGATATGTCTTCACCCTGGTCAGGTGTGACCAGCGAAGGTCACATTCGATGTCTCTGCTCTTGGCCTCCTCTCCCCCAGATCTGTGACTCAGTCATTTCTCTAAACTATCTGGAGCTTCTACCACCTTCTTAACTGCTTCCGTTTTGTTCTGGTAACAGGATGGTGTGTAAAGACCATCACGGCTCAGAAAAGACCATCACGGCTCAGAAATCTCCGGTAAAGAAGGGAATGAGAGACAATGAGCTCCAACCATCCCCCAACCCAAACTTTTTCCCCACACAGTTGTAGACTCTGGCTGAGGAGAGAGGCATGTTCAATCTCAATGAGCCTCCATTATCCTGACTGTGAAATGGGACTAAAGAGCCATTCCGTAGAACTGTTGCAAGAAAAAGGGTGACTGGTGAATGGTAATTAGTTATTAAATTGGTGTAGCACTAGGCAGGTGTTCTGTGTCCCTCCCCCTGCTAAGACCTCCCAGCCTGGCACCCAGGGGCCCAGATAGGTACTTACCCAGGCCCACATACTCTGCACCTATCCCAGAGCACCCTGCAAGCAGGACCAGCAGCATTAGCCACAGGGTTCTGGTCTCCATGGCAGCGGGCAAGCTTCAGGATCAGCACACAGGATGTGCAGGGTCACTGTGAAGGCCTTTTTATACCCATGTTTGCTGGGCTCTGTGGACTCTGACCTGGAGCTCCACCACCTTCTGTCCTGGAGAATTCCAGAAGACTCCTCCCCCATACTGAGTCAGGGGATGGGGTGGATGTCAGGGAGAGGGACAGGGCTGGGGTGGGGACAGCCACTGCAGAGTCCAGCCTGAGAGCAAGGTCTGTCAGTCATTGTATGAGCCTAGTGTGGAAGAAGGCTGTATCAGGCTGCAAGAGACCAAGGGACATTCAGTCTTGTGGTCCCAACCACCTCCCAGGTGCAATGCAAAGGACCCTGACACCTGAAATCAAGTGACAACTGTGCTGGGTCCCTTGGTTTCTCCCTCATCTGTCGCTCTTAAAGGCAGAAACCCTGGCTCTGCACTATCTCCAGGAAAGCCATTTGTATTATTAGCTACACTTTAAGAAATACCTGAATTACATTTATCCGGTGTACTTTAATAAAAAATAGTATACATTTGGTGCTTACAATTAAATAATAGAAAGTCCCCCCTTCCTGTCAAGAGACATGAGTTTTCAGCACCTCTGGTCTCTAGAGTCAAGCGGATGTTTTAAAATTTTACATGTGTGTGTGTGAGAGAGAGAGTGTGAATGTGTGTGTGTATGTGTGTGTGTTTGTGTGTGTGTGTGTGTGTATGTGCCTACATGTATGCAGGCTCATGTAGAAGTTAGAAGTAACATCAGGTCCTATAGAACTGGAGTTACAGACACTTTTGGGCCACTCTGTGGGTGCTGGGAAGCCAACTTGGGTCCTCTAGGAAAGCAGCCAGTGCTCTTAACCACTGAGCCACCCTCCTGATTCTCCTAAGGGGCAGACGCATCATCTTTTTCCTGTCTGCCTTGCCTTACTTTCAATAATTGGCAGCCTGTGAGGATGAGGCTGGTATGAGTAGACCCAGCTCCTGAAGGAAGAAACTGAGGCCTGAATGAGGCCAGCTCTGAGGCAGGCCATCAGTTCGGCATGATTCCTCTTTGCCTGGTCTCCCTGAACGGCACTGTGGCATCCATAGGCTTTCACAGGGGCCACCTGCGAACCCTCTGGCACATTTTGTCCATCATCCCACAGAATGGCTACATCTGACTTGGCATCCACATTGGTCACAAATGAGAATGGGTACCCAAAGGGATATCCAGGAGTCATCTTCAGCTGTCTGACCAGTGGAAACCAGCTCTGTGTGCTGGGTCTGATGGATAGATCCAAGCCTGCAGTCCGGTCCTGGCATCCGAGATACAGCCTCCCACATGGGGAGAGCACAGAATGGGGAGAGCATGGTCAGAGTACACAGGACCTGGATCAAAGGCCAGGCACAGCCTGCCGATACTGAGACCTCATGACACCCAACAGTGCCCTGGAGATCACAGCCTGGAGAGGAGTAAAAAGCCTTAAGGCAGGAATTGGGACATAAAGAGTTGTCGGGATGAGGTGACCTCTAACTGGGTTTTGAGGCATCGGTATGAGTTCCGTAGATGAGAAGGGCATAGAAGTGGTACCGGCCTGCTTGGTGACACCAGCATCCCACAAAAAATGTAGTCCTTGAGGCAAGGGAAGGCAGAACATGGTGCCGTCTCTCCCTTTCCTCAAGTTACCGCTCTTGGTTATCTGAGCCATCGGTTAGGTGGAGGAAGGCAAAAGCCAAGCAACGCTGCCAGGAATTCCTGCTGGCCACCTGTCGCTCGATCTGCAGCTGTTCTGGGCGTGGTCCCCCCTCCCTGTAAATTCTTCTCTTGGCCTCCCAGCCCTTCTGAGTCATCAGGACCTAGATGTGGACGTTTGGGGAGGCAAACACCATGGCTGGTCCAGGGGTGCCCCGATCTTTTGGTGACAGATGCCAATGTGATATACTAGCTGCAGAAGGAGATCCCCACATAGGGCTGAGTCTCCTGCCTTGAGTACGGAGACAGTATCCACCCATCACCGTCAGGAAGGTATAGGCCCTGGTGTTCTAGGACAACAATGTCCGACTTAAAGAATACTCAGGGCTCTGGCTTTGGCCGCCCTGGGGGACTCGACACAGAGATCCCTGGTTCTAGATGTTTGTAGGTGGGTGGGGCTGAGGCATGGAACCATCTCCCAGGAATACCTCATGGGACAAGAGATAAGTCTAAAACACAGCAGCTGACAGCCGGGCAGCAGGGCACCGAATCACACATACTGCCCCGTCTTTCCCCTGCACGTTCACGCAGTGACAGCAGCCACCTCAGAAGAGCCAGTCTGTGTGGCCTTGTGGGGACCTTGAGTCTTCAGGGAAGCCAAGGGCGCTTCCCTCCTAGACCAGGAGGCACACAGCTTTTCTCAGATGTTCACAGAAGCAAAGCAGCCGTTGTGGGGTCAAAGCCCCTGGACAGATGGGATGGGAAACCCCTACGCATGAGGGCTGCCCACCAGCAATCCAGATGAGCCACTGTCTCTCTAGGGTACCGGTCTTCACCTCCGTGAACCAAGATGAAATGTGCTGGGTTGGCCAGAAATAAGGTCCTCGTGGATGCAATCCAGTAAACAGTGATCCTACCAAACAGGGGGAAGAGTGTCCTTAACTCCAAGTGATGGGCGTTCTTTTAAGAGGAGGGGAAGGCGCAGAGACAGAGGACAATGCATGCAGTGACATGGGAGGACAAGGGACATGGGACAGAGGTGGGAGGGACAAGTTCACAAGCCAAGGAGTGCCAACAGCAGCCACCAGGAGTGAAGAGCAGCAAAAGCGTCGCCCGCCCCTTGAACCAGGTATGGTGGGCCACACCTTTAATCCCAGCACTAGAGAGGCAGAGGCAGGCGGATCTCTGTGAGTTCGAGGCCATCCTGGTCTACCCAATGAGTTCCGGGACAGCCAGAGTTACATAGTGAGACCCTGTCTCAGTGAAGCAAAGTCTTCTGCCCAGAGTCTGTGCAGGGAGCAGTGCTCTGCCAACACCTTGATCTTGGACTCATGGGCCTCGGGGTTGGAGAGCCAAGTCTCTGTGAGGCGACCCACCTCTTATGGCGGCCAGTGACCCTAAGTCCACATCAGCCTCTGCTCCAGGCAGGAGGTCAAAGCATCTGGTGCTTTCCAAGGCTCATCTCTGGTGGCTTCCCCTCTAGGGCCTCTCCTCTGGTGGTTCGAACCATCAAATGCCTGTTTTTGTCTCTCGTTCCCTGGTAACTATGCTGACTCTTCATTGGATGAATGGATGACCTCTAAAGTTGTAAACAGAGCTGCCCACATTCATGTGATCATGGAGGCTCTGAACTTTCAAAGAAAATGCTTGAAACCCAGACCATTGGTCAAGAATTTGTAAAGAACCTACATTACAAATAGGGAAAATACAGCATGATTTTTAAAAGACAAAAAATGGAACATGTACTATAAATGTGTGTAAGTAAGAGGTCCAGCCTCATTTTGCAGTTCGGAATCACATAACTAGAGTCAGCACACCCTTGCCTGCACGCTGGTGCGGGTGCTTGGAGACAGCGGTTGACTCCCACTCTGTCAGGCACATTGACAACAGTCTACGTGGACAAGCCTGTGTCCCAATAGGAAGAAATGGAAAACAACACACCCGAACTGTCTGTCAGCAGAGAGTCAGCTCCAAGGCATGTTAGACCCGTGTTCACCCGAATGTGTCGAATCTACTTTTCTTGATGTAAGGGAATTTCAAAGATTAAATATGAGTGTACATTGAAAATATTGCACATCATTTCTGGTAATTAAAAAAAAGCCTAGCAAACATTACCATCTGATGCTTATAATTAAATGTGGGATTGAGACGCAGTGCCTTCAGAGCGCTTCTGGAGAGGGAGGAGGAAAATGGCCGTCATCATTAGCTTCAGTTGTCAACCTGACAGACCTAGGAAGAAGGAACCTCAACTGAAGAATTGCCCCACCTGACTGGGGCACGTCTGTGGGGCGTTCTTTAAACTGCAGGTTGAGGTAGGATGGCCCATCCCACTGCGGGCGGTACTATCCCTAGGCTGGTGGGCCTGCACCGTACAATTAAGCAAGCTGGGCAAGCCAGGGGAAGCAAGCCTGGAAGCTTCTGTCCCCTTGTGGTCTCTCTGGCCTGCAAGTTCCTGCCTTGAGTTCCTCTTGGCTTCCCTCGAGGACAGACTCTAAAATGTAAGATGATGTAATTTCCGCTCTTGAAGTCAGTGTTTTTATCACAGCAACAGAGAGGCAAACAAGGACAGTGGCAAAGCACTTTCAGGATTCCATTTCTTCATTAAGAGCCATCAAGACAGATAAAGCAGAAGCCAGCATCCCTGTAGATAGCGGTCCACATTGTTTGAGGAAACACATTTAAAAATTTAAAGTTTACGTTGAACAAATCCCAGCAATGGGGCATGGTGGAGCAGGGGAGTCTCTGATGACCAGCCAGGCCTAGGCTCGGGTCCTGGTTTAAAGTTATTTTTACATCCCCGTCTGGAGAACTGGTCAATACCAGAGTCTCATCTTGTCAGGAGTGAGGGTCCCACCCAACACCAAGCCTCACACACAGGGAAGAGAGTTGTCTCAGATCTTACTTAACCTCCTGATTCCTGGGACCTCCTTAGGGCAACCTCAGCATTCTCTCTCACCATGCACTGGGAAATGACACATTCATCTACAGCAGACGGTACTTAGTAGGACAGCCTCATGGGATGCTGATGGAGTTGAAAACGTCCTGGTGTCATATGCCATCCGTGTGCTTAGGGTGAGGTTGACATAAAGAAACCGACTTGTTCTCTCCTCGGCCACCATGTGCAATACGCCTGACTTTCAGAACCAGGCCATCCCTGGCCAAGAAACGAAGGACAATTGTCCCGTTCTCCAAATGATACTAGTGAAAATGGTTTAAAAAAATCAGGTAGAACTCTAAGATGCAGGAGGAAACCCAAGCCTTAGAAAAACACCTTACAGCCGGATCTTAGAGAGGAGGTGAGGTCCCTCCTCTCTGATGACTCTAGCTTGTGTCGAGTTGACATAAAAACCAGTACAGATGTAACCCTTCCGCTAATTAGAGTGGAATCGCCATAAC